GTGTGGTTGATACCCTGTGCTTTTCCTGTGTGGTTGATGCCCTGTGCTTCTCCTGTGTGGCTGATGCCCTGGGCTTTTCTTGCCTTCAAAGTCTTTGCTCATTCTCCTCATGCCAAGGGACTGTCCTGTTGGGGGCAAATGGGGCAATGGGTTTATACTGAGGTCCTCAGTAAATGCTCAAGCTCACCCTCAGTTGTATTTTCAGTTTATAAAACACAGAAGATAATTATTTACAGAGGGGTTCACTGCAAATCCTGTGAGTCTAAATAAATGAGAAAAAAGTGCATGTTAATATTAAAACCTCGGTTACTTGTGTAACTCCAACTATTGTCTGTATAACTGCATAGCAAATGCTGTTTTGCCTGGCTGGCAGTAGTGTTTAGAATGATTTGGCATTTTTTGTATTTTCTCTTGAACACTGACATTGTAACTACTTGCATATCTCTTGGCTATTGTTTCAAAATGTCAATGTTTCCTTTTCATTATGTATTTTTTCTCAAATTGTAGTGAGGTGTAAGGAGGCTGTCATAAGGATTCACCCCTTGAAAGTCATTACTGAGGACCTCAAATAGCAGCATATCCCACCAGCTCACAGTGAAATTTCTCTTCTATTTTGAGGGATTTCTGGTGATTCTGAGCCATGGTACTATTTCACCTTATTACAATTTTAGGAGAAATTAATTCTAGGATCTTACTTTTTGGGTTTTTGTGAAATCAATGAAGTTGACCCTTTCTGTTGGAAATGTCACCTATATTCTTGAAAAAGCTGCTACACTGGCAGTTGTGCATGATTTCATGTTTAAAGAATTATTACTGAGTTAAGGAGATCTTGTAATAATTTTTTTTAACAGAGCTGTAAGAAATGCTTGCTGTGAAATGGACAAACACATGAACCCCACCTCCATGAGGTGTGTCAAACAGTTTTGTGTAAAGAGCTGAAAATCAGGCTTGGTTCTAAGCCAGCTTGAGTCACACTGGACTCATTGTGGATGACTGAAGCCATCTGCAGTTTAATTTCACACCTAGAGAAACTCCGTGGTTTCTTTTAGATTTGATTTGAGTTTGTTACAATCCAAAACTCAAAATGAAATTCTGAATAACAAAATCATGGGCACTGGAACTAAAGATGTTTAGGTACAAAACACATTCTGAGTGAAATCTAAGACTTTAACATAGCATACATTTTATATAACAATGACTTGTTGATTGCTGACTGCTCCTTCAAGGTCATATGAGAGTGACTCTCATTTGTGAAGATTTCACTTGTATGTGTGAAAAAATATTGGTATCTTTTCTCGTAATAGAAAACAATAATTTGCCTTTGTCTTGCAGTCTGCAAGCATCAAGGTCTTTTAAGACCTCATATATGGTCTTTCTGCTGACCACTTGGTGTAGGTGGTACTTCCTCAAGGGAAGTATTTCCTGTAAAGGAATGAGGTCTCCTAAAATCTAACATGCCAAATTCATCATTATTTTCATTTAAAAGTTTTCCTTTGTTTCTGGAATGAAGAGGAAGATGAAGATGTTGAGCTGATGAGGATCTCAGCAAAGGTAAGGAAGAAGAAATAGATGAGGATTTCCTGCATATAAATCAGAGAAAGAAAATTTTATTTTATTTTTTTGCTCCTCCTTTTACAGCATTTTGAATATGATGACAAAATGATGACAATGAAGGCAAAGTTTAACTTCATGAAATCCAGTTTGTTTGGTTACTGTGACATGATATGCTCCAATCTTTAGGTGTGAAACAGCAATTGAAATGAAATAGTTAAAATTTTCTTCTTTTCTGAAGTCAAGATAGGGAGGGTGAGTAGTCAAAATAATTTGAGATGTCTCTTGCAGATGAATGAGTGAAAGGCCTTGGGATAGGATTTAAACAACTCACAAACATTAATATTGGCAGGTTAATAATCAATTCTCTGGTTTATCAGTAACTGCAAGAGATGCAGCAATAGTGAGACTTGGGAGAGCAGGGCTCCCGAGGTCTGGCTCTTTGGACCGGTGTGGTTTGGGAGGAGGAATGCAGGAGATGGAAAGGCCATGAAGCAGAGGAGGAGCCCAGCCAAGCTCCCTGGCTTCTTGCAGGAGGCACTGGAGCTGTATCAGAGCCAGCCACTTCACAGGAAGGGACAGAGGGATCCAAGGCAGCTTTTTAAACCAGCCTTGGTGCTGTGTGACAGGGATGAACAGTCCCTCTGCAGTGCTCCAGCTGTGCTGCTGCTGAGAGCAGCTCCTGCAAAAGGACCAGCAAAGAGAGAAATCAGAGAGAAGGAGCTGAGACATGAAAGTGGAAATTACTGCAGAAGAACACACCACTGATCTGGTACAGTGCCAATGGTGAGCACTGATCCCAAGGGCTACTTTTCCATCTGTCTATTGAGTTAGCAACTCTATGGCTGTAATGTGTGCTCAGCCCAGTTCAGAGGTACTGCCACCTGCAATTGCATTTCACTGTGGAACCTGGGCAGACTGGGAAAGAACAGCATGGAAGAAGAGAAATGTCACATTTGTAATCCATTTGGCCTCATGCTGTCCTTGTCTCTCCCAGGAGACACAGGCATTAGAAATTCCCCTGGATAACACTGCAAGCTGCACTGTCAGAGAGGGCAGAGGGAAGAGGGATGGCAGCAACATCTGTTGAGTGTAGATACTGATGTCTTTGTTACCTGAGCAGTGTACTCAGAGGCAGCTATAGGCAAGCTCTTATCCTTTTTTCTGCAAAGAGGAGTGGGGGAAAAGAGCTGGGAATGAAAAGTCAACAGAAAAAAATTTGCAATTGGATTTGAGAAGCACCCTTAACATTTTGACCCCAAATGGTCAAATCAATGGTCCTGAAGATGCTGTATCTGCTTTTTTTTGTCATGGAGGAAGATTTGTTCATAGAGATTTGAAAGGGGCTTGTGAGGGATCCACCAGTTCCCAAGACAAGGAGCATTACAACCACTGGTACTGAACATGCAAGGAACAGTTCAAGCTCATCATAGAAGAAGTTGTGATATCATAGCCCTTGCATTTCTAGGATATTGGCTTGTTTGATGATGCTTAAACCATCTCAGCAGAACATGCAAAGCATAAATGCAAAAAAAGATCAGCCAGATAAAGGTTCTGGATTTTCAGTTTTGCTGTTTTTCTTCACATTAACTAACTAAACCGTTCACAAAACCTTTCTTTTCAAATATGCCATTTCATAACATTAGTAGGCTACCAGCTAGGAGAGTAGCCTGATAGTATCACACTTGGACATGGAAGCAAGCAGGTAAAAATGGTACAGAAATACCTCACCATCTAAGAAGTATAGGAATTTAATTTCTAATTTTTTTAAAGTAGTTTTTCTAACCAGCTGGAACTTCCTTCAAAGTTTCCATGATGATTTAGACTCTTGATTTTTTAAATTTTAAATGTTAGCTCTAATTTTAAAGGATTATCCCCTGCCCACCCTATTATTTTGAAAGAAGTCTGTAAATATGTAATGCATTATCTTTAGGAATGGCAATTGCAACAGGAAACCTCTCAGTTCTTTTGAAAGTTAATGCTGCCAGCTGCAGTACTCACCACTTCTGGAAGGAGTTTGTCCATCTACATCAGGAGTGTGGCTGATCCCAGGCAGACAGAGCTCTGTCAGACTGAGGAAGTGTTTTCTCCCATGCTCTGCACCTTCAGCTTAAGTAGCCATCCTACTCTGAGGCTGAGGTTAATGTTTACTTCGTATGATTTCTGTTGATTTATGCTTTTGTAGCAATTGGACAATGCTTAAAATGGGTGGATTAAATGTTTCAGTCTCTCAACAGGAGAGGGCCCTCTGAATGGGAACATTCACCATCACGAGTACTCTCTGTTTTGATACAGGGAATGATAAAGGGAGTGCATCTAAAATCTAAATCAGGTTTCAATTGCTGGAACACACACTGGCACTTTAATATCAGAGCTTCTTCTGTGGTTATTCCTTGAGAAGCAGTGAGTATATTATTTGAAATTTTTAAATAGAAAACTCCCTAAAAGTCAACACTAATTCAGACCTCAGCACAATAATAATAAATAAGAATGGGTAAACTACAGAAAGAAAGGACTTACGGCCCTGCTAAAGAGGAGGCTTGAAATACCTTGGTAGAAAAAGGAAAAATAATTGATCATCCTATACAAAGGCAGAAAAGTTTGGGGAGGGAAGCAATTGGACACTGCAGTGTCCAGCAGGACTGGCAGCCCTTGAGCAGCACAGTGCAGGGAGCACAGCACTGAAGTGTAGGATTGTGGGTGGTGTGCAGCAGCAAAGTGCAGGCTGTCCTAGAGCAGCACACAGCCAGCAGATACTGGATAGCACAACTTCTCCCTTTTTTTGAGCAGTTACTTTTTATAAAATGGGCTGAATGTTCAAGCTGTCTACTCTCAAAATCTTACTCTCTGTCTCTCTCCAGGGTTCTTTTCTTCCAGCTCTCAGCACCGTGTGTGTACTTGTTAACCCTTGTGCCATCCATGAGGCACCAGAATATATTACAAGAACTTCCTCCTGATTTTGCTACAACTGATCTGCATGGAGAGTGCAGCCAATTTGCTCCAGAGGATGCAAGTGAGTGTTCTCCTCTACCAAATGCCTGGGGATCAGGGCTGATCCCTGACAGTCATAGAGACAATCAGGACATGCAGTTACTTCATGGCAGCTCAAGGAAATGGATGTTATTCTAGCTGGCATTTGCATTCTACCTGGCATTTGTTCTACCTGGTATTTGTATTCTTCCTGGTATTTGTTCATGTGCAGCGTTCACAATCAACACTAAGTCCTTTACAGTGTGATAGCATAAAGAAATGACATGAAAATTGTTTGCAAGAACTATGGCTATGTTTAATCCTATCTTCATCCTGCTCTTAATCCTGAGCACAACTTTCTTACCAAGTAAGAAACATAGACACAAATCTTGCTGCTTTAAAGTGATAGCAATGGAGAAAAACTTGAAATACAACTGACATGTTATGCCAGAACAGTGGAAATTACTTATAGTGGCATATCAGAGCTTGGTGCAAAATGTCTTTTCTTCAGCAGCATACATCTCCTCAGCCTGATGCCGTTTCCTCTTAAACCGGCAGCTTTGGAATTTTTCTGTGATTTCAGACGTTGACTTCCCTTTTGTTTCTGGGAGGAACAGGTAGATAAGAACCACTGAAATGATCAGGACAGCAACAAAGATGAGGAAGCAAAAAGGACCAAGAAGCATCTGGAGATAAAAAATAGAACAAGATGAGTGATTTCCTTGGCAACATTTGCACCTATATATTCTTAAAACTTGTTGATTTGTTCCTGTGAAATAAGGAATAGGCTCATTTTACAGAAACAATATTTATTTATCTTTTCAATCTGTTCTTGGGGCAGCAAGTGGTTTCTGAAGTACTTAGAAATGTTTTATATAAATGGTCTCCATATGCCATAGCAACAAGAGATTCACAGTTTTGATCGTCTACAAGTCATTTCATCCTACTCCCTGTCCAGATCAGCCTAGAAATCCAGATTAAATTGACAGAGCCAAAGAGAAGATTTGAATCCAATTACATACTACAGCAAAGGGGAAAACCATTCCAGTGAAGGTGAGGCCCAGCCAAATGACAATTCCACCAATTACAAAAGCAGAGGCCCTTGTTGACAGGGTGAAGATTTCATTCATGACAGCCACAACAGCTCCAGCTGAGGGGAAAAAAAAAACAACATTAAAAAGTGATAGAAACATTGCTGTAATTTACCACTTCCCATAGAAGATACCTCAGCTCTGCTACTGTGGGAATTCTGTCATGCTTTCAAGACATTCATGGCTGTCAGGTACAATCCTTACAACACTAAAAACTGACATTTTAATTTGGAAACTTTAGTAATTACTGGTAGTGTTTAGTCAGAGAACTTCCAGAGTAAATCCTGGTCTTAGACGAGTGAGGTTCTACCAGAGAGCTGCAATTTTGGGTCTGGTGTCACTGATGTAGGTGACTAAGGATGATATTAAGAGAGGACAAGAAAGGACAGAGCAGTGCTAAGAGGCAGATTATGCATGCTGTCAGGTGTCAGTCTTTCACAGAGTAGGATTTTACAGGTAAGTTGAGAAAACTCTGGTATTTTAGAAAAGCCTACCTCTGCCCTTTGGCAGAGATCAGCCATCTGAGCCTCTATGCACTGAATAGTATTCACACTGCAAAACAAGTCTTCATTAATTGATTAACAAGAATTTATTTGGTTTGAACCCATAAACCAGTGAGAGAAAACAGGGTCCTGATTCATCTGGGTATAAACGGTTTCTTAAAGAAATTGTTTCTTGGGTAATTAATTCATCAAAAATTGAGATTCCCTCAATCTCAGTCTCAACTAAGCTGTTGATTTTCAAAGATATATTCATGCATTCTAGTTCTACTTCCATACATTCATGGCCAGTACTTATCCCTGTGGTCCAAGCTTTCCTGATGCTTTTATTGTGGTGCTCACCTGGTCCTAGTCCATAAGCAATGATGAACAGAAAGATGAGAATAACGCTGCAGTACCGCAGCCAGAGGAACTGATCCTAGACAAAGGCAAAGGGAGGGAAGAGAACAAAAATCAATTTTATGGCTGTAACACAGCTGATCCAAGCAGAGGAGCAGCAATATTTGGGAAAAAGCCCATGATGCTGAGCTGTGTAATTGATGATCTAAACCTGCTTATCTTTCCTTACTGAACCAGAAGCAGCTGGTGGTGTCATGTCTAGAGAAGACATTCTGACCTGCTGGTTTGGACAGGAGAGCAAAGGCTGCTGTCCTGCACAGAGAATTCTGATGCAGGTCCACTCGTGCAGAAACATTTTCTTACACTCAGCAGAAGGCTCGTTTCAAGCAACACCAGGATCAGTGCCATCAGTAAATAACCCCCGCACAGGAGCATTCGGCGTCCAAACCGATCGATTATGGAGCTCTGAGGAATAGAAACAAAAATTGCCTATCACTGGAAGCATGGCAAAATCCACCTGTGAGCCATCCCACAAATAAAGCATTCACCTTGAGTTCTTTTTACTTCAAAGAACACAAATCTTATTGGTACCAACTTTGTTATTTTATTGAATTCCTTCTACACACTCTAATACTACGAATTACCATCACTGCCCAGCATTGCAGCTACTTCTTAAACACTGTAATTGATGGAAGCATGGTACAGTGAATTACCATCACTGCCCCACTGTAATTGATGGAAGCATGGTACAGCTCCATTTGAATGTATAGCTATGCACAAATATGTGGAAATGAGTGCACATATTTATGTTTGAATGACACTTTGTAAGGGATTCTTATAAGAAATTAAGATGAATGAAGATGGGATGAAGCACATGAAAGTTGGGACAAGACTTGCAGTGGATGGTGACAACCTCTGTACAGATTTATGCAGCATCACAGAAAAATTCTTTGGTTCATAAGGAGAAGATTCATTTGCTTCAAGGAAGAATACTTTAATTCTTAAAACCCCAGGAAGCTCTGACTTACACAGAATATGATGGAGATGAGTTCAGAGACTGAAACTCCTAGAGATACATATGGGATTATGCTTTCCTGGAGGTTGGCTGTTTCAAAAATTTCTGAGGTGTAAAAGGTGATCTGGGAAATAAGAAAAATTAAGCACAATTAATAGATGTGATATGTGCTCATCCAGGATCACTTACAACTAGATATATCGTCACTGCAAAACCAGAAATACATTACTGGGCCGTAGTAGAGGTAACATAACTGCTCCAGATGTGAGAAATGGAAAGGTTAATGGCAATCAAGGAAACATATCTGTAAAGGGGAAAAAAAAAAAGGAAAAAAATAGTAGTTGAAAGGAGCATATTGCCTGTAAGACATGGGAAAATGTGATGTTTTGGCAGAAAGGAAAAGGAAAGGGACAAGACAAAAGAAAGAAAAGCAAATCTCAGTCTTAGCACACCAGACATTGTCAAGCAAACTGTTGATTCTGATCTTTTCCAGTTGCTAAACAGAAACTGCTCATCTGCAGCATCCCTGAGGGAATGGGCACCATTTCCCTGCCAGCAGAATGCAGAGGGAATTCCATTGCTGGCAGCTGGAATGAACCACCTCCAGCACAGGCTGAAGCAGGGCTTATGGAGAGACCCCCAGACAAGTGAGAACATGAAGGGAATGACTGCCAGCTTGGGCTGCACTGGGCCCAACCAGCTTTATGTGGAAACTGCTGAAAGGATAAATGCTTCATGGATAAATGTCCTTTCTCAAATGAAACTAAACTGGATGGCAATAGCTGGCCATCTGCTACTGCAGAAGTCAAAGAAAGAGGTGCTGGGTTGCTGTAATTTAGGATACTTGTAACCCTTTCCTCTACAGATTCCTTGGTTGTACCAGCAGGGGAATGAAGGCACAGTGCCCTTATAGGAACCTAGACTGAGTTGGAGCTCTTGTATTCCCACCTGAGGAGCTCCCTGAAAGGTATGAACAATCCTGGGGATGACACCTCAGGTGTCAGGCAGTGGGCTCTGTGTGAGGAGGAATAATGCAGACCCAGAGGAAAGGGACAAGTTGGCATTGTGGTAATTTGGAGACTTAATAGCAGATCCAAGCATGGAAATAGGGCATACTCAACTGCACTCAGGCCACAGAGCTGCAGGCTCAGCAAAAGGAGGAGCATGGTACACAGCTGTGGGTGCACAGATCGTTCTCTCAGCACCTCCAGGACATTCATGATTTTGGTGCCTTTTGTTATAGCCTTTTCCTTCATCAAGTCATCAAATTCTGTGTGATAATTCCCTTCTCCCCAGAGTTGCTTCATGGCTACAGAAGAGACAGAATGAAGTATACTCCTCCATCATTTGATCCACTCATAATTCTGTGTTTTTCAACTTTTAATGACATTAAACATTTGCACTTGAGCTCATGCTTTGATTCATCAGTTACTGAGCAAAGGACTGGAAGGAACATCACTTACTGGAGCATGGTGAAACTGCCCTGGAAAATGCTGTAGCAGTTAGGGGTAGATCTTTAATATCTCTGATGACTCTGCTTGGTCTGGAGGACTTTAATCATGCAATTATCAAGAAATCTGTGGCTGGCTAATAGAAAAGCCAATTCCTGCTGTTAGATTCACTTTCCCAAGAGTTATGACCTAACAAACTAAGGATATAAAGTTTTATTTTACCTTTCAAGCAACCAGCTTTGTCTTCTTTTTGCAGCAAGAGATAGGGTGGGGACTCAGGAAAGAATGGCAAAAAGATCAGTTGAATCAATGCCACCAGCCCAGAGAAGGACAATAGCACATTCCACATGTCTTCAGTTCCTAAAAGTTCTCTATGAAAGCATGTTAGAATCTATTTATAGTCCAGTAAAAATACAGTTTATAACTAAATAGGTATTTTCTAAATTCTAGGCTAGCTAAAGAGACCCAAAATACATAGAGTCATTGAAAAGTTCAATTGAAATAGATGATGTTTAGGTTAGTGACAGGAAAATAGACTTGTACTTTATTTCTTCTGCTAGACTGACATTTTTCTTAGACTTTTAATTTCTGAAGGTCAAAATATTCCCACAACAGCTCTCTGAACCAACACTGCAACTCTGCATGAAATTATCAAGAAATTAGAAAAACTTTTAGATCTCACAAGTTTACTAAGAATATTTACATACAATCTTTTCTTATTAACTGCACCTTCAGAGACTGAGTCTTCCTCTCCCAAGAGAAAGGCCTTTCTGTCCCCAGGGAATGAACATGGAAACCTCAGTGACTTGTATGGGGTAGATGCCTTCTCTTTGACTGCTGTAGTTAAGCAAAATTAAACCCCACTCTTGGTGTATGTCTGATTCCAGGACTGGGAGAACATCACTTCCCTGCTATATAGAAGAAAAATAAATATAAAACAGGCAGAAAAGGAGTAGCACAGGCACCTTAATCCAAGAATTCGTGCTACTGTTTTTCCTAGTGCAAGAAACACTGTGGAGGTCACGTTTATAAGTCCACGCAGCTTCTTAGGTGAGATCTCTCCAGCATACTGAACATGGGCATTCATATGTATTCCTAAAGGGAGAAGACAGGAGAGTGCTAAAGCTGTGGAAAGGAAGAGACAGGGTCCCTTTTCAGTTCCCCTTCAGCTCTGTCCTCTCTCTTCTGAACCCTCTCCCATATATCCTCTGCAATTATGGGCTGAAAATGTACCTTTTATTTCAATCAAGATGTTTAGCTAATCCATCAGATCTCTCTACAAGAGCTCTTGAAGGCAAAGGACAGCTCATCTTCCCTTGTCCCAGTCTGTTCCTTGTTCCACTGGCTTCCAGCACATTCCTGGGCACTCCCAGCAGGAAGATTTCTGTACCCACCCCAAAGAAGTCCCAGTACCATGGGCCAGGGGGGAGTCCTACCAGCAGCCATGCCCTCGAGGAAGCGCCCAGCCAGGATCATCTCAAAGGCCTTGGCTCTCCTGCTGCAGGCAGTGAGCAGCGCTGCTGTTATCAGCACCACGTCGTTGAGCAGCAGACTTTTCTTCCTGCAACAGTGAGCAAAACCTGGGTATGATCCATGTTTTACTTCTTCTTCCTTGACTGATGTTTGACTCTTCTCCTCTGGCTTACAGACTGAAGCCATGGCCATGTTTAAACCCACTGCTTATAGGACAACCAAATCTGGTTATAAAAAGGCATGATGTTATCGAATTCAGGCAACCCCAATGAAGGGGAGAGAATGATGAGGAGGACTCCATCTTATCAGAAGGCTAATTAATTACTTTATTATACTATATTATTCTATAATATATTACACTAAATTACATGGCATCTAAACTGAATCTGCCAAGCACTAATCTCTGCACACAACTGCACCCCACTGCACTCATCTCGTTATTCTCTCGTGACTGTCACCGACAGTCCCGACACACACACACACACTTGGCCCTGCTAGGCCAAGGAAACAAACAGCATCACTTTGGGCAAACAATCTCCATACTGCATTCTACTTTTGCACAGCACAGGCACAGCAAATGATAAGAATTTTTTCCCTTTCTCTGAGGTTCAGAGAATGTGAATCAGAAATATTCTTGGGAAGAATTGTGCCTTGCTTTTCTCTGTGAAGAGAAATGTGGCGACATGATGTCTTTGCAGAGGAGGGCAAAGGGAGAAGCTGGATTCCTCTTACTTGCTGTGTGAGCCAGCCGTGAGGCTGAAGGAAACTCCTGCAGGGTAAAATGTCAGCAAAACTACGGGAATTGTATGTCAACAAAAGACGTGACAAGGGAATCAGAAATTCCTGCATGTTCTTATCTCTCCAATGCACCCTGGTTTCGTTTTTCCTGCTGGGTAAATTCTGCGGCAGCAGGGGGCAGTGAAATTCTGGTATCCCTTCTTTTAGTTGACTAATATTTAATAGCTTCTCCTGTTACAGCCCTGGGTAGCGAGGTGCTGGGAAACGTACTTACTTTCCAAATTTTGCAGTCAGGTAGCCACTCCACAGACACCCTATCATGCCACCCATGCAGTACACAGACACGATGAGGGACCACAGCAGCATCAGGGTCTCCTGAGGCAGCACAGAACCGTATCGCTCCAGCCAAGTTTCATTGATAAACTTCTGAATGTACTGGGACAAAAAAGAGATTTTTGTTCCACCAAGGCACTATTCATAAAGTTCTTCATAATGTTTACAATTTAAAAAAATTAGATTAATAGTTGTGATTAAAAGCGTGACTATAGGACATTTGTTTGCAAATAAGGATTGCTATTTCCTCTCATACGGCCTAGTAGTGTACAAGCATCTTTCAAAAATTAATTATACTCTTTAGTGTGTTGAATCCTACCTCTCCCACACCAAAAAAATAGGACCTTATATTCTTTGCAGTAAAGTGCACATGTTCTTGTGGCCAGTAATGGATATAAAGAGAAAAGAGCTGAGCTGAAGGCTGACTCCATCAGCTATTTTTGGGGTTTTTTTTCCTCCATGGCATACACTTTAAGGAGGTATCTCAATATGCTGGTTCCACAAACTTCCAAGGGAAGTTGTCTTTGGAGCACAGCTCCTTGCAGTCATGCACACTTTGACAGTGACAGTATGGCATTGGAAACAGCTGGCAATAAACTGACACAACAACACCTAAAAGCTTTTGTCCATCATCTGTAAAGTGCAAGGCCCAGGACCATGAGGAACAGTTAGAAATGGGATTTTCTTTTCTCCAGCTTTGCCTACCGGAGAAGTGTAATTGATGACAGACATTTGAAAACCAGAGAGGTGGGTTCCACCAATTCCCAGCACCACAATCATCAGCAACAGCCTCCGGTATTGAACCTGCCAAAGAGAACGAAACACATCCTAAGCTCCTGATACCAGCACACCTTTCAGACCACGAGATAATTTACAGCACCTTACACCTTCACACTTCTATGACTAAGAAACCTTTAACATGCAAAAACCCATCTTGAATTTCACAATAATCAAGCAAAATTCATTTGTTAAATCTTTAAAATACACAGCTGCACATTCTGCTATGTTCCTCTCCTAGCTATTAGCAATATGAAAAGATACATTCTCTAATTCTGTTTCTGCTAACATTCTTCTGCTAACCACAGAAAACAAAAATCATGAAAGCCTTGTTGAGATCATTTGTGTTTGCCTTTGTACTAGAAAGAAGCTACAGCTTTCTTGAATCCCTTTTTACTTTCACCTTTGCCTCCTCAGGGACAGTGTTCACCATTTTCCAGAGATGACTCACGTCTGTCTTCTCAAAACTTTTTTTTTTACATTTCACTTTTATCAACCCTCTGTGAAATGACATTTTAGAGGCCCTATCTGAATGACTTCTATTGGAAATGCTGTGTTTCCATGATGTACACTGAATTTCAGAGCATTTCTCACAAGCACAAATGTTTTCAGGCATTTAGTCAGGTCACATTTTAAACTCATGAGTATCCTCAATTGTCCTTGAGAGCACAGAGCTGTAGAGTGGGGGAGTTTTTTCTGTTTTGTGTTTTTCACTGATACTCTGCTCTCTTTCTCCCCCCAAATTCCCATCTTTCCTGGTTTCCAAGTTCCTCTTTTAAACCTCTAACTGTTTTGCATTTCTAATGTATTTTTTGCAGATGCCATTTAGTCAGTCATTGCTCAACCGGTGTTGTCCCAAGCTCTGTTGCTCATTTTTATTACAAGAAGTATTCCCTTTGCTGCAATCTTAGACCATGCTGCTGTTAGTGACCAGGGCTAGAACACAAGAATTTGGATACTCACCAGGTCTGAGAGGAAACCAGCCATTTCCCCTTGAAACCCTGCCCGCTCTGAGAGCCCTTGTCAAGACTGCCAGATGAGAGAGATGGGTTCCACACTGAGATTGTAAGAGTTTGGGATTACAGAACAGAAGTTAAATTCTAACTGTGTGGCTTTTAGCAAATTGTGTCCTCCCCTGACACTGGCCAGGGCCTCTTCTTGCTGGTTTAATTATTCTAAGACCCAGACATGACAAGCTGATTACAACATTGGTAAATGTTTGTCCTTCTTGGATTGGGAGCACTGGCCCTTACTCACACTGCTACAACCCCCAGTGTTCCTGTTGTGTGAGGAGCCAGACCCTGCCACAACCTTCCCTTCAGTGGAACAGAGTCCCTCCTCACCTCTCTGAAAAGCAGCTTGGGCAGGGGAGGTTTTCCTCCCCTCCAGTCTACAACAGGCCTTTAGAATTGTAGCTCAGCCATAATGCCTCTTCTTGCCTGCTACAAGATTTACAATTGCCTGAACAATTACCCAGACACGGGAAATGAAGTATTGGAATAGTGGCATTTTGTGTCCTTGCTCACACCCAGTTCTTTACAGAGGCTCAGAGTTTTTCCAGAACCACTCAGAGGCCTGTCTGTGACAGTGGAACTGACCCACTGTGTGCCAGAGCACGATGCCACATCACAGTGGGCAAGGAGCTGAAGAGCCTGGAGGAACTAGAGGGGAAAGGAAGATTTTTCTTTGAGTTGAGGATGGAAAGAAGGATACACATGGCAGCTCTGGACCTTCCTGGAGAGGTTTCTAAACACTGTCTGCGACCAGTTTTTAACATCTGGTTGATCCAACAGTCCCTGCAGAGCCCTGTTGCTCTTTCTTTTCTTGTCTTTGTCCCTCCTAGAATGCTCTTACTGCTGTCTCATTCTGTCTGGCCTCACACCATTGTTCAGTGTTGTACAATGGAAAAAGAAAACCTTAAATGCAGATAGAGGTAAAAAAGCAAGACTTAAATGGAAAAAGCAAGTCTTAAATGCAGACAGAGATAAAAAGCAAGCCTTAAACACAGGTAGAGGTTTTATTTCTTTTCCTAAAGAAGAGGACAAGATGCATCCCTCCACCTAGGACTTGAACACTGAATGAAATGTGCTTTTTCCAGACCCAGTATAGAGCTTACCCAATACCCTGAACTTGGAGGGATTTTTTGTTTTCAGAGATGCCCTGTCTTGCACTTGTGTGACCCTGGATCCCTCCTGGATCCTGGAACTGCAGATTCACAAATACTTCTTCAACCTTTATTCCCAATCCATGACAGTTTATGGCAGTGTTAATGATTTACCACACTTTCCCTCTTGTGGACAGCCTTTAGTAGCAGGGGAGCAGTAAGGCAGGTTGAGAACAATAATGTTGTAGAAAGACATGTATTAGGAAATGAGTTTTTAATGTCTTGTAAGACAATAAAAACTTCCTCATTGGGAACAGTAAGTTTGAGAAAGGACCAAACCAAATAAGGACCTTTAAAATAATCAGTTACCTAATATTTTCTTTTCAAAACACTTCCAATGCTTCTTTTTTTTTTTTTCCTGCATTTTTGACCAGAAGAAGGAATGTATGTTGGTTATTAAAGTGGCACTGTGCAATCAATGATCTCAAGCCTTGAAACAATAAACTTTATCTAGTTTTTTTGATAGTGTGACGATTGTCATGGGAGGGATGGCTGTGTTGGGAAAATTCCCTGCTCCTGGCATTAGCTTTTGGCACTTCCACAAATACTGCTGGAGGATGATGTGAAGATAAAATAGCAGGAGCCTTAGGGCTGTGAAAGAAACTGCTGCTATTCATATATATATATATATATATAATCCTTTTGCAAAATTTATTGTGCAGCATCTGCATCAGTTGGTGGTGAAGATCTCATCTCCAGAACAGGACAGACACAGCGTTCCTTGAGCCCAGCAGCACTGCCCCAGAAGGTGGGGCCTCCTCTGGGGCCTCCTCTGTCCCTGAGGCTTCGTTCAATGAAAATCAATCCAGGCACAATCAGAAGGATGTGTTTTCCTAGTCACTGCTTTTTATTTCCTTATCAGAAAACTTTAAAGTATAAAGAAGACAAAAAAAAAGGTCATGTCATATAGCAATGAACACAGATGTGAAGCCATTTTTACCAGGTTTTATAATGAAAATGTGAAGTATTCAGAGACCTGGAAAGAGAAGCAAACAGTCCCACATATGGATTAAATTCCCTCTTCTCTGGCTCGTCAGTACAAATCACTCTCAGGGCTCAATCCCACTGAAACCCAGTGTTCTCTGGGCTGAAGAGACACTGCACAGTCATTGCCAATGAAGAAGGAGAATCTGCACTCTGGATTTGCCCACTCATGATTTCCTGCTGCTCTGCTTTCTTTGCTCATTGCTTTCTATCAGTGCTGACATATCCCTGTTGTTCCCAACAGGAGAATCTCCAAGACAGTAAATGTGGGGGAACGTTGCATATTGAGTCTGCCTGCTGCTGGGCAAGGCACTCTTCTTTCATGGGATTAAAGAGTTAATGCTTCTTTTCCTGTGAACTGAAGCTTCTGCTCTGGGAAAGCTCATTGGCACTGACTTGTTAATAGGAGCGGATAATTTCATTGTCAAAGCTCTGTCTTCTTTGCAAGTCTGCTGTACCTCTGGACCTTCCAGGATCACTTCTGCCAACTGTGGCACCTGGTTTTGCCAAGAAAATAGCAGATCCTGTGTTTTCAGTTTATAACTGCAAGCTTGCAGGGACTGACAAAGATCTTATTTTCACTACAAACTGTGTTTAATTTTTTTCTGCAGAGGAATTAATTCAGCTCATATTTCAGGAGCTGCAGAGAACCACCAAGTTCATGCTGCACCCTGTACTGAAGGTGATTTTTTGGTGGATCTATAGATTCTCTCTTGCTTAGTGAGACTTCTGGGCACTACAATAACAAAAGAGCAAAATAGGAAGTGGAGGGTTGTTCTTAAAGCCTAGTAACAGTCACCACTGAGCAGTTACTCTGCTGCAGGGCTGCCTGCCCCTTCTTTCCACGGTAGTTCAGGCGGTTGAACTCCTCCTTGACCTGCAGCATGGTCTTTCCTTTGGTCTCTGGCAGCACCAGCAGTACAAAAATAGCCATGGACAGACAATATGTCAGGAAAATGATGAAACAGAAATTACCAAGCCCTTCCTATAGGAAAACAGAGAGAAAAAAATGTGTTCATAAACATTTATCTTGATTTTTTTCTCTCATGATGTAGAGTTTCTGGGTTTATATTTACTAAAAGAAGTTGGTCAGAGACTTAATGGATATAAATCCTGCTTCAAATGACATCTGACAATGTCGGTGCCTCTGTCACTGCATCTGTGTTGCCTGTGTCACTCTAACTTGTGTAGAGTTAGAAGCATTTTGTGGGTTTGCTACACTTCCAGTAAATACCTGGTTAAAAAGGAAGAGACCATCAGAACTGCAATTAATTTGGGCTCTGTCTGTTGCATGAAGTGTTGACAAGAGAAGCATGCTCTGGGTTCAAGAGGGGTCTAACTTGCTCTGAACTGAAACAAACACCCTGCTTTGCTTACCACAATGAAAGGGAACACAAGCCCAAGGAGGAAGAGTTGGATCCAGTTTACAACACCATTAAAAACATAAGCAGCTGGTCTGTATGACTGAATAAATATTTCAGTGATCAAGGGGCATACTACTCCACCTGAAAAAAATATTGAAGAAAGAAGGAAGCTTAGAAATTTTGCAAGATGCTTTCATACCTCATACTTCACTTTGCTGCATAAGTTCATGGCTTTAAGTGGCCTGGAAATGTCTGAAGTGGTGCTTGGCTCTTCAGGAAAAAGGCATGTAGGAATGAAATAGGAAATTAATTTTACCTCCTACCATAGTATGGAGGGAAATATCAACACCTGCACTGAATCAGAAGTAGGGATTCATGGTTATTGTGGAACAGCTATGCCTGGGATCTCTCCTAAAGGCTGCAGTGAGGAAAGAATGAGTGAATAAATTAAACCATTCCAGTAAAAAATACCAACCTGGCCCAATGCCAAAGCTCATGATGAAAATAAAGACAAGTGCAACAGAGCAGTATGGTACCCAGAAAAAGGAGTCCTGTGGTAGGAAATGAAAAGCAAAGAAAATCAGAAAATAAAATTTTATTTATCTAGCTCCATTACCAATGTTCATCATTACTAAGCATGTCAATGTTTAACATAGATCTATTTCCTCTACTTTCAGAAATGTCAGGAGATAGCCTTGGCAGCGATCTTGGTTGTGTAAAGCTGCTGTCTTTAACCAGATGTACATGGCTGGGTACAAGCCTCTATGAATACGATGGTTAGCTCCAAAAATACTCACTAAAAAGGGATAAATAGTCTACTCACTAAAAAGGGGTTTGTGGGGAGGGAAATAGTCATGAGATCTGTCATAGAATAAAACATGGGCACAGCTCTAATGCACCAGTGGGGTCTTACCTGCAGTGACAGTGTGGCTGTGAGGAGCCCTAGAGCCAAGGCCATCACGGCATAGCTTTTCCACAGCAGCGTCTTCCTCCCCGCACGCTCGATGAGGAAGCCCTGCAAGCAGGAGGAGATGCTGCCAGCTCCCAGGGACAGCCACTGCTGAGCTGCTCCAGCCTCTGCCTTCACTGGCCCCTTCTGGGGGCCTGAGCAGCACCAGGAGCTGCGGGGAGGAGCAGAGCTGGGAGGTGCAGGGCTGCAGGGAGCACTGTCTGGGCAGAGGAGGTCAGAGCTGGTGTCCTGCAGGCAAAGGAGAGCCAGGCAGGAGAGCAGAGTGGGAATGCTTACACTGCTGTGATTCCTACAGCCCTGGGTCCTACTGACGTCTGCCCTTCCTCCAGGGGGGAACTGGGACCCCCAAGTCTGGCCCAAGACTCTCAACTCTTTCCAGAGGCACAATAGAAATGTCCATGACTGCAGGGTGTGGGGAGAGGACTTTTAACTGATCGGTTCCATGGTTGATTTGTTGCAAAAATTTGATTCCTGAAGCTCCATTTACAGTATTTCTGAAGATCAAAATGAGTAATGTATTACAGCAGAACAAAATTCAGCTGAAAAACCACTTACACACAGAACTGTGGAGAGGATCTCAGTGGTCCCAATCCCCAGGGAGACATAATGGGTTTGAGCAGGGGGGATTCCAGCCTTTGTAAAGATACTGTATGCATAAGAGTAAACCTGGAAAGAATAGACATTTGTGAAAGCTGTACACATGTGACCAGGTTTATGCTAGCATCTGTCTTTTTGGACAGAAAATAACTAACCAGACCTTAACAAAATAGAAAACCATCTTATCCTAACAGGGTAATCCCTAGAAATGCCTTCAGAAGACACTTGCTAAAATGCAGCTCTAGACTTATCCCAGGTCCCAAACTTCCAGGGGGAAAGATTGTAACAAACAGTACCAACAGCTCCCTCCTTAGGGCGCTGCTGTAGTCACTCCCAGCCCCTCGCAGAGGTTACTTTTGCTGAGGAGCAGGGCAGAGCAAAGCCCTGCACGTACCACATTGGCCCCGATGAGCTGGATGCAGGAGACCACGAGGAACAGAGTGATGAGCTGCCAGCGCACGGCTCTGTCCCGCAGCAGGTCCCAGACGCTCTTCGCCTTCTCGCCACCGATGGCTCTCTGCTCTGACATCATGTCATTTATTTCAGCCAGATGGTCCCCATCCCCCCAGAGCTGCTTCACAGCTGGAAGGAGAGGAGGAGAGGTGACCAAGCTCAACAGCACAGACATCAGTCCAGAAGATTATTTCCTGCTCTGCAGAGTATCTTAGAACTTCATGCTCTTTTCTTGTGTGAACTTCCTAGAGGTCTGGGCTCAGATATGACACAGGTCCAGATCATTGCTGTCCTATTTTACCCATAAATCTTAACGTGACCTCACCTTTGGCCAGTAGCTGCTGACAGTCTTTCAATGTAAGTCACACTTGCTTTCTTACCAATCCTTCCCTGAACACCCTCCTGCTAAAGGTGCAGTTCTAGTACACACTCCAAAACACAGACAAGATAAAATGACTCCTACATATAAAAAATAAGTTTACATCCAAGGAGTTCTATCTTTTGATAGTTAAATACCCACAGTGGCTGTTGCTCAATTTCTGTCAGTGTCTGCTGTTAAGGTTACTGAAGAACTGGAATGCTTACAGGTACAGCACGACAGCGCAGAGCCTCTCTTTCTCACACAGAGAAGGAGCTGCACCTGTACTCTCACTGCTCAGGGCACAATCTGCATTGCTGGGAATACGAGCTATGTGTGATCACCTCCCTTGGAGGACCTTAGCAGAGGGTACTGTCAAGAAAGCACTAATATCCAAACAGAAGAGGCTGACTTTCATTTAAACTGAAAGTACTTTCAGAGCCAAAACACCAAGTGTCTTTTTCCCAGCTGTAGCTTTCTTCCAGGGTCTTTCTTCTGGGGCTTTACTGTATTTTCCCCTTTTCCCCGGAATTAATGCTTTAAGGCCCATTTCCTCACCTTTGATGCATGCCTCCTTGTCCTTTTGGTCAATGAGCAGGTAGCGGGGAGAGTCTGGGAAGAAGGGGAGGGTGAGAAACTGAACAAGGACAGGGACTGCATTGGCTGCCAGCAGAATGGGCCAGAGAGCCTCCACTCCAAGAACTTCTCTGGAACAAAAGCAGCAGGGTGAGAGGGGCTGAGGCACGGTGTGTGCTGGCCATGTGAGCAGAGGCAGACACAGGCTCATCCCCAGCCCTGCTGGCTGTGTCCCCGCAGGGAGTGCAGAGGGCCCGTGCCTGCAGCGCAGGAGCTGCACGGTGCTGGCTCCTGCTGCTCAGTGCTGGGCACAGCAAGGCCGCCTGTGTCCTCCTGTGTCCTGAGGGCTCACAGGGACCGACAGTCACAGCACAAGTGCTGGAGGAAAACCTGCAGGGGCTGATCCCTCTGCTTGTGATCCAAATAGGCTCCATTACCATTATTACAAGGTCCATGAGTTACCAGACTGGTACTGACTGCCCAAATAGCAGCCCCTGGGCACAGGTGTGCATTGATATATGCACATATTTTAATAACAGAAGAAATTGCTTATGTTTCAGACTCTCTTACCTGAGACCCAGAACAAATCCTACAAATTTTCCAAGAGCAGAGAAGGTAGCAGCTGTTATGGCAATCAGCCCACGCAGCTTCCGTGGAGCACACTCCCCGGCATACATGATATGGACATTCTGAGTCAAACCTGCAGGCACAAAGCACTGTTAGGGCCACGCAAACCCTCCTAGGTCTGCTGTTTTGGAGGGAACCATTCTGGACAGTGCCTATAGGGTTGGCTCTCAGATACATTTTTAACTGTGCTGAGGATGTGGCTGCCTGGCATGAAGCATGTGCCCCATACCCTGGCCTTGTGCCATTGCTAAATATTTCACTAAGTAAGTATGGGCCCGTGGGAAATCTGTCCTTCAGCAGGCTGGCCTTCCCTGACACTGTTTCCTACAGCCCCACATACAAATGGGGCTGTGGTTACTCCCTCTAGTCTTAGATGGCATTTTTCAGTGGCGATTCAGACACTATGTGCCTTATCTTCTGCTTGAATCCATCGAGCTGGCAAATGCTTTACATTCTGTTTGCTCAGTGAACTAATTAATATTTATCCTCTCAAATTTTTTTTCTGATTAGTATTATCTTTATCCAGCTGCTCAGGGATCAAAAGCACTGACAGAATGTAACCTTCTGAGGCATCTGGAAATTATAATTGAAAATTCTAACTGAATTGCTTGAAAACCATTCTGTTGCCTGTAATGTGGAGGGCAGCATCAGCCACAGTGAAAAGCAACAGGGGCAACAGAGGCCAGTTCTCTGTTGAGTGAGCATGATTCCCTGAAATATTGCATGTTTTGCATACGGCTTCTTATGAAGTTGGCAGTATCTTTTCTATGGACTGGACATAAAGATAGAAGAAAGAGAAATGGAGATGTCATACATTACTAATTTAATTATGTTTGTGGTTTCTTATCTAGTTAAAAATGCACTCATGCTATCATGTTCTCTGCAGAATGTAGTAAAAAAACTGTGATCTCTTTACTCAGGCTGGTGAGTCTTTGTGACCCTCAGTCACTGCTCTTCCCACTCTTTAATACCACAGGTAGGAATGCCAATTTACCTCCACAGACTCCAGAAAATAACCTTCCAGCAATGATCATCTCAAAAGATCCACACAGCCGGCTGAGTCCCATCAGAGCTGCACCCAGCAGAGCAGGGATGTTGGAAAGCAGCATGGCCTTCTTCCTGGAATTCATTCAAATTAATGTGAAATTAATTCATTCAAATTAATATGAAATACTGCCCTTGCCTCATTCACAGCCTGACAGGAGTGGCATGAATTGTACCATGGTTACAGACTCAGTGCTGGCTTCTGAGATCAGCTGAACTAAATGGGAAATGGCAATGGGGAAACTTGTCACAGACTGATCAGTTAGTTGAAGGTTTTGGTGCCTCTAGTAGAGTTAATATCTACACAGGAGAACAAGCTTTGTGAGTGGTTGTCTCTGAAATTCTCTTTAAAATGCATGTACTTCTTGTATGACCTCCCTGGATTGGATTTGCTTTGGACTATAAGGGAGAGGGTATGATTTTCCTTGTGATCACTGGCAGGATTTTCCATTCTGTTTCTTCACTATACTGGTCTCTAATTGGAAGTCCTGGGCTGCCACATTACAAGCAGTGTTTCTCCTGAGACACAGTTGATTTGTCTGCAGTAGTGGGTGTAAGCAGAAGGACTGGTGTAAGCACTCTTCCTACCTTCCAAATCGAACACACAAGTAGCCAGCAGCTGAGGAGCCCAGGAGCCCACCGATGCTGTAGATGGAGACAATGAGGGACCACATCAACGTGATCATCTCTGCACTGGGAGAGGAGCCATATCTCTTCAGCCAGGTGTCATGGATGAAACTTTGGATGTACTTTAAAAGAAAAAAACAAAACAGTGGACTCAGCCAACATGTTTTTGCATAATTGCAGTGCTTTTTTAATTCTCTTATCTGCTTATCGGTCTTTTTGATACATTTCAGTTGATAACCTTGGTTGAAACCTTAGCCCCAATGGGAATTTTGCCATTACCATGCCTGGAGCTGATATTTTAGCAATGAGATCCAATATATCAATATTAAATATCAACTGTGAGTGCCAGTAAGAGAATGGTAGGTTTCTGTTTCTGTGCTAAACCCTGACTTTTTCTCACCCTGGTCTTTTCCTGCCATTCCCACTTGTCTGCGGTGATAGTATGAGCTCAGTGTCCTTGGTACCATTCAGGATGACACACACCACTCCCAGTTTTCCTTTTCCAGCTGCAGGTAGGAGTACTGACCTCAGCTCTGGAGCTACAGTCCTTCCCTGCCCTATTTCACCTTACAGCCACTTGGAAATAGTGTGGGTGGTCAAGCACATGGTACAAGGAGCTACCCCAAGAGCAATTCCACGCAGTAGGGGGAAAATGGCTGACTTTATGGATGTTATTCATCCTTCCCTTTCCCAGCTGTCACATCAGACAGAAGTTCAAACCTCATGAAACACAAGAGCAGTAGCAGCTACTCTTAGAACTAAGAAACCAAAATTCTTTTTAATTTTGAAAGCACAAGTAAAAAGTTAGCCATTGCATATAGAGGCATGAATGCCTGAGAACAGTGAAATCCTGGTAGATCACTCTTTGAGCTTTCCATGCTTACCTCAGCAGGAGAATTGATAATAGAGACCTGCAATCCATAGTGGAAGGTTCCAGTCATGCCCAGGACAAAAGCCAGGAGAAAAAGGCTGCAGCTCATTTTCTTGCAGGAAATAAAAACAGCAAACAAACTGGTTCAGCTATGCAGACATGCTTCCAAATGTGCTGTTTTCCTTGGGAGCTCTAACAATTTGAGCAATGCCACACAGCTGCCTCCTTGAGACCAAGGAGCAATAGAAAAGCACAGCTACTGCAGCACAGGACAGTGAGAATGCTGAGTAGAGGCAAAGCTCACAGATGCCTTCCAGAATCCAGTTACACACTTCAGTGCTTCAGCCTTCAGCTTTGGCCATCTTAATCTGCACTGTCACAGTTGTGGGAGCATAGTGCAATGGCCAAAAGCATTTTGTGAACAATTCCATCTATTTGTCCTTTCTCCTCCTCCTTTCCCACTTGTTATCTCACCTAAATGAATATTTTACTGAGTGACTTGGCTGAGACTAGATAAACATTTGGGGATTAAAGGGCATTCCTGCTTTCATAGTGTATTCACCTTTTCTTAGAGCTCTCTAATAGGAGGTGTAAGAATACAGAACTGCAATAGAGGCACCTCAACCCTTCCCACTGCCACTGCCCCCTGTTACTGGGGATGTTCTGGCCAGCAACAGGAGAGTGATGCTGCACCTCTATGCCTGGAATATTTCATATTCAAACAATGACTGCCAAGCACTTACCAGCCAATTTCTCATCAGGGGAATGTCATTGCTTGAATGGGCATCAAACCCCTTCACACCAACTTGCATGCAAAGGTAGTCATCCCCACTTGCAGTCTAGATCTTTCCTGATGCTTTCTTTGGCTACTGTGGAAAAAGTTCCTTTTTATATACAGAAAGTGGAGCATGAGATAATATTTCAACATGTTGTTTTGTATGGGAATAAATCACACAGGACTCAATGTTCTTCATGGTGGAAAAAGGCCATTCTTTATTCACATAACTCCTTTTTATACAGTTTTACAGACCTCGTGTGGGACTCCAATTGGTTGGTAGTTTTCTTGACAATTACTTTATTGGTTAGTAACCAGTTGTTGTTCTCTATTGATTGATCACTCAAACTCTTGGTGCCTATGTGCAAGGACAGTTGTTTGTGAAAGTTAGTTTTCAGTTTTCTAATGAATGCAAAAACAGTTTATGCAAGTGTAAGTTATTTTTTTTTTACCCAGGAATAGATTGTTATGTTAACTAATTGCTCACAACAGGATTCCTTTCACATGGGAATCTGGAAAATGCTGGCTTTGACAAGGCCAGCCGCTGATTCCAGGAGAGCAGACTTGGTTTTATGAAGACTTTCTCTATGATTTTTCTACCTTACTGCAACAATTTTGTCCTTTTGCAGTGTTAGTGCTCCCTTTGGTTTTTATGAAGCTCTTGCTGTGTGGTTTGTTTTGTTGTGTGTGTTACTGATGCAGCTGAGGATAGCTGGTGAGCTGTGTGCTCCTGGCAGGGCTCTGGCAGCAGCTGGGGACAGTAGGAGCTGTGGGAGATGAGCAAAGGACAAGGAGGAAAGCATGATGGAAGTCAAAGTCCAAGGACTGGTGCAAACTGGAGTGGGCTGGCTTGGACTCCCCATTAGGCTGGGTAATCAGTCATCACATCCAAAGGGAAAGTTCCTGACTGCTACCTTGAGCCTGAATCCAGAAAAGCCTTTAAAGCCCTACTTGGCCAAGACAGACAATGCCTGTGCACCCTGCTGTTACCAGCTGACTGACCAACTGACTCCTAAAGAGTAATGGTCATTGGCTGAAAGTTCAGCTCTGTATCCCTATAAAATATGGCAGATGCTAGGGAAGTTTAATGTCAGTTTTAAACCCTGACTGTAAAATCTTTAGTTTTATCCACAATTTTTGAAGGGCAGTGTCCAAGATGGTTCTGTTAAAAGGCTTTTACAAATTATTCAAACAGCTTAGGGGGGAATTCCTTCTCCTGGTGAGTGGCTGCCCTTGGTGTTTCCCCAGGCTAGGATGCTGTGTTTCTTTGGAAGAACCCCAACACCAGCTGGCTGCAAGTGAGAGCTGGCTTGTGCAGGGGAGCAGTGTTTGAGGACAGCAGCAATAGTAGTTTTCCCTAGTGTTGATGGTTATTAATCAATCCAACAGTGCACAATTATTTGATTTGCAAACAGTAATATCAACTGTGAGTCTGTGAGGATCACTTCAAAATGTGGTTTTGCCTAACACTTTATATAAGAAAATGTGAACAAGTGTCATAGATTTCTCAGCTGAAGGTGTTTTAATTCAGTATCAATTAACCAACTTGTTAAATGCTTCAATTAAAATTTAACAACATAGACCAACTGAAATGTAACCACTGTTTGTGTTTGCTTAATCAGTTTATAGACCTCTGATTTCAGGCCACAGTCAGAAAAAAATGCTGAAAGTTGGAATTAATGTTTTCTGCCAGATGTACTCACAGGACTGCCTCTAAAAGTCAGGAAGTCAAGTAAACGTGTAAATGGGTATAATTTCTGACCAAGCCTGTTTCATACTGCCAGGTGCAGATGGCTCTGCCCTTGCAGGGCTCTAGGAAAAGGCACAGTCCTGACTCATGGGAGTGGCAACAGAAGTGGCCAAAGGGAGGACCTCTGGACACTGGAGGACTTCTGCCTTCTCTGATCTGTACGCTCCAGCCTCTCCCTCTGCCCAGGCAGTCTGCTCAGTCCATCCCTGCTTCCTACCCTGCATGCTCCCCACTGACCCCTTGCCCTTCTTCACTCTGTGCTCCACTTTTTTCTCTTGTCCTTCCTCTGGTCCTCACAAAGGAATTACAGAATATTTTTCCACCATCATGATGGTAGTGGCAATTTTGCTTTCAGTTTGTTTTTCACTCTTTCCATCTGCTCCTCACTGCTCTCTCCAAACTATAGTAATGTAAATTATCTCTTCAGTTCCCAATTCTGTGGAGTCCTGCTCTTGATTGTCTTGTCTCAAAATCCTGCATACTTCAAAATCTCAGTGTTTTCCAAGAGCAGAGCTAGCTGCTCTTTCCCATGTCTATATATTAATGACTTTTAAAACAGCACCAACCACAACGGAAAAAAGTTTACTTTTGTTTTTCATATGTTATAAACTTTGGGTAGTGAAAGAGTTGTTGCACAGAATCCTCTTCTGAGAAATAGATTTGCTGCTCCACTCATGCCCAGCATGACACTAATACACTCCAGAAATTTGTGCAGTCTTTTTATTCAAAAATGCTGCATTTTTCTTTAAAATGTAGTTTAAAAATACACTGAAAGAAACTTTACCTACTTATTTTGAAAATGTAATTGTTGTAAACATGAGCAGCGCTGTGCCTTCCATACAAAGTCAAAAGAAAAGAGGTGGCTTGATTATGACTTTGAGAAGAAACTGGGAGAAATGTAACAGTCAAGGCAAAGCCTGTGAAAGGCCACGTTCAGTGAGGAGTGTTGCCCTGCTCTGTATCAGGTTAACTGAAAAGAATCAATCTCACATCTGGGTCTTTACCAACGTGCTCTGCAGAGACAGCACGGACGTGCTGCAGAGAACATTGTGGTGTGACCTGAAGCTGCTGCCGTGGCACCTCCTCACCACACTTAACCTCAGCACAGCACAGGGGCAGAACCCTGCAAGAGGCACCAGCAGCGGCCGTGGGAGCAGGACAAACTGGACCAGAGAATTACTTGTGCTTTACAACATAGGACTGGAAGACAACAAACAAGCCATGAAGAAAACCAGTCCAGAATAAATAGTCTGCAAAACAATGCCCAAAAGTCTGTTGTATAATAAGCCACTTAGCAAGTACTAGAAGATTTCTTTCTAATCCATCTGTCACATGTTTTTATAGCTGAAAATAATTAACTGCTCACTATTGCTTAACAAGCAGGGGTCTATTTGAAATCACTTAATAACAGAAATAACGGGAGCACCAAGACAAGGTACTGAAAATTTCATCTGGTGTCTGAAAACAGAATTTAATCGCATTAATTTCTGTGTTAGAAAGCCCAGATTCAGGGGCAAGGAAAGAAGGACTTCTGAGATGGAAGTTACTGTTTGGAGAAATTCTGAAGAAATTTTCTAAAGCATTACATGGTGTTGTATGACGATAAGAGAATAAGGCATCATTCTGTCACTCTCAGATATGCATTCTAAAATATGCATGTGTTACTCAGTACTAAAAGCTGAGAACAGATTATTGAACTTTTGCTTGGATTTATCAGTTCAAATTTATGTTTTCAAGGTGAACTTAAGAACCCAAGAGTAATACATTGACCCTAACTTCTCTCTTTGTGTCCCTGCAAGGGCACACAGCCACTGCTGAATTCACTGCAGAATCCTCCCAGATACCATCTTCCTTTCTTCTGCTACAATGTGGTGGTTTTGATCTCCTCAGGGCCTTTATAGAAACCTCCACGGGTCTTAGCTTTGAAGTTCCGTTTCCTGAACTCCTCCGAGATTTCCAGGAAGGATTTTCCCTTTGTCTCAGGAAGGAAAAACCAAACGTAGAGGGCAGTGCAGACACAGACCACAAGGAATGGGATGTAGCAGAAATGTGCTAGACTTTTCTGAAGAGGAGGAAAAAACAAGACAATGTTGGTGACATTCTGTATGATGACAAAAAAGCCACTAATTCCTCTTCCTGCATGGTCTAAAGTCACCCAGGGAGTATTTCTGTGAATCTTGGTGAGAGCCTCACACGCCTGGATGCAACAGCTCCCCAGCATGGACTGGGAAATTTGACATAGCAAGAACAGTATTTTAAAATGTCTTTTTCTGTCTTTCTCTCTCTATATGATTGTATAACATGGGAGCCCTCAGTAGGATATAAGACAGGAATGTATATTGTGCAGTTCTGCTCCCTTTTTGCTTCTTAGGGAATAGAGCCAGGGTCTGGCAAAGCGAAATTGCCACACCACATCTCCAGTTCCAGCTGTTCTCCCTGAGCACAGACAAGGATTATTGACCATTCATCCCCCAAATGATTCCACTCCCAACCTCAAATCAGAAATCACCAAAGGGAACACGAGAAAGTTTGGTTTAAAGGAGTTCTGGCCACTGTCCTCATAAAGACACTTTTCAAAGAAGTGCTATCTTGCTGCTTGCAATATTCTCTTTTCCTGGTCAGTACCAGAGCCCCCCTCTTGCACAGAGCACTAAAGAGCTGCTTTGCTTTGGGAACGCACCACAATGAATGGAAAGGCTGTTCCCACCAGAAACAGGTTGAACCAGAGCAGGGAGCCACAGATCATGTAAGCAGCTGGTCGGGACATTTGATCAAAAACCTCTGTGGGCAGAACTCCTGTTACACCAGCTGGAAAAAGAAATGGCAAGAAAGTTAATAATGTTGTTGACATTACATTAAAAACAAGAGAACACATCTTAACAAGAAAAGCCAACATGAAGAGGTAAATTTTTAGGTTAAATATTAAGGGACTGGGTAATTATTCAAACTTTCTCATGTTAGAATGATCTGCCAGGAAAGATTTTGTAATCCACATTATTCTTACCAGGACCCAACTGTGAGAAAGGCTTATAATTAATTCAACTCCATGGCACTGTAGGGACTGGGACAAGAAATTATTGCCAACTTGTGTGGCATGTGACACTGGCAGCTTGGTTCTATTCTTACCTGCCTTCCTTCGAACTCGTGTGAGCAAACAGAGCCTCACATCTCTATATTCATCATGCAAACATCCACAACATCCCGTGTACTGCCTTCCCACCCCCAGAAACTAGTGTATTCTGCCACAGAAGGGCACAATAGTAGGCTAACAGATAGACGTGGCAATTGTGCTTCCACGTATCTGCAAGAAAATAATCAGATGGCATAGCCAACAATTTCTAGGATTAAAGTGAAGCATTAGAAATTCTGGTTTACAGACCTAATGGACTGGGCAGCAAATCAAAAGCTTGTCATCTATTTAAGCCAAGAATCACTTCCAAGTGCCTTGGCCTCACAGCCAGGATGACTGTCAGGGGGAATATGACACAGAGAGAAACGGGCACAGCCTGGCCCTGCACAGCACTGACTGACCAGGGGCACCAAACCCCTGTGACACAGCCAAACAGCACTGGCAGGAACTGCCTCGTTCCTTGGAGTATGCTGCAGCTAAAGAGGGTCTGAGAGATTCAATAAGATGCCTGCACACATCTGCAAACCCCTGCAGTACCCAAAAGTTCCACTGAAAACACTGAGGGAACTGACCTGGTCCGATTCCAAAGCTCAGGATATAGGCGAAAATGCAGGCCATGCTGAGATAAGGCATCCAGCTAATCTGAGTCTACAGCCACAGAGACCAATGGAAAACCAGTGAGGGCACTTATTTGCCACCACTGAACACCCCAGTCATGTAAAAGGCAAAGCCCAACTCCATTCCACTTAAATAATTCAGTAAAGTTTGTTACCTGCTGGCTCAGAGCGACCATGAAGACAATGGCCCATCCTGCCATGAAGATGTATCCCCCCAGCAGCAGAGGCCTCCGACCAGCATAGTCTATGATCATGTTCTGCACAAAGTAACACAGGGAAATAAAGCAAGATATTTAACCTGGGTTTCTATTTCCTGCCTTTTTCGTCTTTACCTTTCAATACTCCAGGCCTAGTTCGCTCTACAATAACTTTTAGGATGTTGTCTGCTTCATAGCAAAAAAAAAAAACCTCAAAAGAAAGTTCTGGTGGCAGGAGTCAGGAAGAAGGGTGTTCAGGGGAGATGAGATTGTCCCAGCTGCACCTAAACTCTGCCACCATCCATATGAACACAAAGCAAGAGAGTTACACTTTTTAGAGATTTCAACCAGTGATGGCAGTGTCTGACCAAATACCTCTGCATTAACCCATGGGGCTGGGGGTGCTGACAGACAGCCTGGCTCCTGTGCCTAAAGGGCTTCCTTGGCATGAACAGCAATGTAAACCCCAAGTTTGTAATTAACAGCCTCCTCCCTGCCAGCAGAGGCTGCACATCACCAGAGTGCACTGAGAGTCTCACACAAGTGACAGATGTGATCAGCTCACAGCTTCCTGTGCCGATTACAACATAGGGGATTTTGTCCTCAGGAATTCCAGCCTCTTGGAACACATAAGCTGCATAAAAATACATCTGTGAAGAGAAGAAAGGAGAAAGCAGTAAGGGAAGACATCTGAAAATACATCCCCTTGTTTTTCCTGTAGGACCGTGCAGAGTGACCAATGCACTGTCACACAGGCTATTTTGACAGCATCCTTCTGAATTTCCCATAATGCACAGGTGTATTTTGGGAACCAAACACCTGACACGTGAAGATCTCCACAGGCAGACAGACACTATTCATTCCTCTCCTGCTGCCAGAATGTTGATCCCCAGAGCTCCCAGGCACGTCCCAGGACTCCTCTGCTCACCGAGTCGTTGCCGCAGAGCTGCATGGCGCTGCTCAGCACCACGACGCTCACCAGCTGCCGCCGCACGGCTGCGTTCTGGAACAGCTCCCACGGGTTCTTTGCTCTCTGGCCTTTCACAGCAGCCTGCTCTGCCAGCATCTCTTCCAGCTCTGCACTCAGGTCGCTGGTGCCTCTGAGCTTCTGCAGTGCTGCAAGGACAAGGCAACCCCTTACTCCTGGGCTGCTCTGCAGGGTGAGGGATCGAGCAGCAGGTCATGGCTACAGAAAGCTGCAGGACAGAGCCTGAGATCATGCTGTGACCTCCACAGAGTTCATCAGCTGTGGTGCAGCCACTTGAAAGATTTGGGAGAAAGGGAGTGCAAATCCCTCACCATTGTTTGACAACTGAGTATTTCCCAACAGTGCCATTTTAGCAGCCATGCTTCTGACTCAGATCTCAAGTGCCTTCCCTGGGGAATGCAGGCAATTAAGATGTTCTTGGTACACAGCACATATTTCCCACAAAATAACACCAACCACTCTGCATTTGAGGATTTGTATGCCACAAATCTAAGTAAATCCTTTAATATGAATTGGCTTCAGCTTTGATCCTGAGCTCTTCAACCAGCATTTATTTCACTTCATAGTTACAAAACATATTTGCCATTGTGAACACAAGTCTTACCTTTTGACCTTATTACTGTAGCAAATAAGCCTGTTGTAGGAAGATGCCTTTCAACTCCCTCAATAGGTCAAATATATGTAAGATTATAGAATGTTCTTTAGTTTGGAAGGAGGAAGTGATCATATTTACTATGTGATATGAAACTTCCTACATGTAAAATTTGTGACACCATTCCAAAAATGTTGGGGCCCAAGTCTCACATGTTCCCATGAGCTAACAGTCACCCTAAACTCACCAGAGATACAGGATTCTTTGTCTCCACGGTCAATCAAGAGATATCTGGGACTTTCAGGGAACCAAGGCAGAGCTGTGAGCTGGATCAGGGCAGGAACCACATTGCTTGCTAGAAGGAATGGCCAGCTCTCCTCCCCTCCTAGGAGCTCCCTAGAGAAAAAACAAACACAATTTACAGAGGATTTTTACAACCTGGCAAATGTGGAGGGATGGGAAGGGAAGGGAAGGGAAGGCAAGGGAAGGGAAGGGGAGGGAAGGGAAGGGAAGGCAAGGGAAGGGAAGGGGAGGGAAGGGAAGGGAAGGCAAGGGAAGGGAAGGGGAGGGAAGGGAAGGGAAGGCAAGGGAAGGGAAGGGGAGGGAAGGGAAGGGAAGGCAAGGGAAGGGAAGGGGGCTGCTTGCTTTACCTTACCTGAGCCCAACAACCTGCCCCAGCACCAGCCCCAGGGCTGTAAATGATGCAGAGGTCAAGGCCACAGCTCCTCTGAGCTTCTTTGGGGCGCTCTCTGCCAGATACATGGGCTGAATGTTCATGCTCACACCTGGGCAAGGCAGACAATGCTGACCTCAGCTTGTGGGCAGAGCAGACAAGAATAAATGGAGGCAGCACCTCAAGGTTGCCAGCTGCACTCTTCCGTTGCAGGCCATGTGATAACTAATCTACCAGTGCTTGTTATTCACCCAAACCTTCCATTTCACCCCGGTCCTTGTGCAACGAAATACACATCTCAACGTTCATCAGCAGCAGTGGATAATGAAACTGAAACCTGTCAGGGCCTCAGCCCTGTGGTCTTTTCAGCACCAAATCCAAGATTATATGCAATGTTTCCCTCGACTTCCCCCTTTTGAGGGGAATTTCATATTTTAAGTCCCTTATATTGATCATTTCCTGGAATGAACTTCTACAAAAGCTTTTGTGTTTGTGCTCATGCTGGTGAGTGACTGACATTCTTACAAGCAGATGGGAATCCATTTTCAGCTCAAATTTTCCCTGTGCACAGAGATGCTTATGTGTAGTACACAAAACCACCCTGCCTGTGTATGCTTTAAAAGAAAGGCCTTAGAAGCAAAGTATAAAATCTGTATATACAACTTCTTAATTCACTTACATGTGTCTGGTCAGCCTAAAGGATTAATTACTTTAATATCCTGGATCATTCCCACTTGATTTTTTTCTAATTGTTACCACCTTCACCTTCTATATTTTTTGTGAAAAATGCATATTTTATGATTGTCTTTTTGCAAATATTAAAATTTATATGTGTTATGTTAGAAAGTTATGCTGTTTTAATTTTCTTCAGTAGAGTGTTAAATATAGTTTTAAGTTATAACATAATGTTAAAACAGAAGCTATGCTATGTAAGATACTTTTTTTAAAGATAGGAATGAGGTACTTGCACTGAGATAGCAGCTACAGGACACCTAAATCTTCCAGAGAAAAAGAATTTATTGCTCCCTTATCAGAAGAAACAAACTTCTCCCCACCTCGCTCAGCCCTGAAGATACCGTCAGGATTCAGAGGAAGAAGGTGACACTGACCAGACAGAATCCTTTGTTTGAATGGAATTTATGCATCATGTATGAGATGTATGAATATGCAACAGGCTATTGCTTTTAAGGGTTAATCCTCTGTTAACGTGGGTCCTTTTTTGGGCTTATTTTGTCCAGAAAGAGGTACCTGGACCGTCCATAACTCTTTGTTTTTATTGTCTCGTATTGTCCTAATCCTGATTTTCCAAATTTTTATTACTCTAATTATATTACTATTTTTATAACCATTCTATTACTATTAAAATTTTAAAATCTTAAAAGCATGTGACTGGCAATTTTCACATTTCTCACGTTGCCATACCTGCGTTCACGCCGGTAAAAAATCTGCTGAGCATAATCATTTCAAAGGATTTGGCCATTCGGCTGCACCCCGACAAGGCTGCAGCTATGATCACAAAGCCGTTGTTCAGCAGCAGGGACATCTTCCTTTTGAGAGACAAGACAGCTGTGAGCACACGTGTGTTCCCCTGGCAGGTGGCACCTGCAGAAGGGCTGGAGCCCCACCACGGAAGCTGCTGGTGACCCCAGCCCTGCAGGACGCGTCCCTGTGCCACCTCAGCGTGTCCCTGCAGTGCTGCCTTCGGGCTCTCTGAGCCCACCAGGTTCTCCCCCAGCTTCAGGGCTCTTGTTCCCACACACAGTTCCCATTGGAATGGAGAGGAGTATTCCCTCAGCAAGCCATGTGCATTTTGGTCTGAAAGTGCTAATGTGTTGAAACAGGCATTTTTCATGTAATTGTGTAATCATTGTGAAACTTTGTCAGGAAGTTTTCATGTGTCCCAGGAGAAATTTCTGCTGAAAACCAGGGGAAAAAAGAGCTCTATTGACCCACACTGTTATTATTGCCAGAAATGCTCTCTAGTCCCTGCCCACTGCCTTACCAGTCAGTCTTTGTTTCTCTTATTTATGATGGAATATGATTTTATTCCAAAGTAGGACAGGGTGAAATCTCAAAAATGTTAATGGATTTAGGCAACCCTATCCTTTCAGGTCTTTATAACCATGAAACTAGTAAGTCATGGGACTGCAAACCATAATGGGGTCTCCTTCATTGTATAAGAGGAGCAAACCAAAGTGATAGCACACTGAGGAAAATCTTGGGGTCAAGAGACAGGGAGGCAAAGTCTAATTTCCTATAAGCTTATGTAGCTTATGTTGGTAACATTGGTTGGTTTGGTTTTGTTTTGGTTTTTTTGGTTTTTTTGTTTGTTGTTTTTTTGTTTTGTTTTGTTTTTGGTTTGTTTGTTTGTTTGGGGGTTTTTTGTTTGTTTGTTTGTTTGTTTGGGGTTTTTTTGGGGTTTTTTTTTTTTTTTGCTTTTTTTTTTTTTCTTCTGCCAATAATAAATAGAACTGTGTATGAAAGATGCATGAAGTAAGACAGATACTTTTCAGAGACTCAAGCACAGAGGAAAAAAATCCCACCGTGGAGACTTAATGAATACTTCCTGAAATATTTCAGACCAAAGTGTGGATACACAGCCTGTGAGACATGAGGAGCTGGGATGCACCCACTGCTCTTTGTAAGCACCCTCTGCTTTTCTAGTGTCATTCCCACAGTTTAGTTTGAAGAAAAATCCTTAGTCTGATCCATTATCATTATGATAATCATTATTACAGCATCCATTATGATTTCATATCATTATTATATCATCCATTATGATATCATATCATTATTATATCATCCATTATGATTTCCCATTTAAAAGCATAGCAGAAAACTGGGCACAAAAACGATAGAGATTATGTAAGTGGGTACTGTGGCAAGGAGTTGAGCTGAAATGCTGGTAGCCCCTCAGCTGGGCTGGAATGTGATGAGAAGGTAATGTGGGGAAAAAGCAGTTCCCCGATGAGCCTTGAGATATTCATTATTTTTAACCACTGTGGGTATTTTGCTGTAGGAATCCTAATTCCTCTTGGACTAAGGGAAGCTGCAAAGCTTAAGCTTAACTCCAGCACCTCTTACCTGCCCAGCATGATGGCCATGGGCCCAGCAACCACGGCCCCGGTGAGGCCCCCCAGGGGGTAGGCAGAGACGGTGAAGGACCAGAGCAGCAGGACCATGCTGCTCTCCAGGGGAACGCCCATGCGCTCCAGCCACGTCGTGTTCATGAACACCTGGATGTACTGAGAGAGAAGGACAGAGCTGCAGGGCCACCAGAGACAGGAAGGACATGGGGAAGGGCTCCCTTATTAATATATCTATTTATCCTGTGTTTATGCTTCCAGTTTCCTCCAGTTCTTAGTTGTGTTTTTAGCAAAGAGTTTAGGGTGTGAAACTGTTGCTGTTGAAAAGTCACAGCTGGTTTATATCTCTATGTGGTTATTTTTGGTAATTTAAAAACTGATTTCATGGGTCTCACTTCCAATCTAAGGGCAAGGTTGGCATATTGAATTTAGGAATTCAATTTTCCTAAAGCAGTTGAAACAAAGCTTTTGAATAAACTTGTGACACTAGGTCCTGCTCAAGGGTAGCTTTTGACAACAAAGTCCTGTGCTCTGGATGTGAATTACACAGAGGGAACAACACATCCTTGCTTTCTGGCCCTCAGCAGCAGCAACAGCCTGCAGATTTCCAGCAGCACCCAGGGTCTGTCAGGGCAGGCACTCGGGGCAGCAGTACTTACTGAGGCCGGGGCATTGATGATGGAGATGTTGTAACCATACTGGAAGGTGCCTCCAATCCCAGCAGCACATATTGTCAGGATCAGGATCTTGTTCTGAAGCTGAAGAAAGGGGCAGACAATAGATGCCTTCTTTGTGCAGAATAAACTGACTCAAAAGACATTGAGACTGAGCTGGGGGATTTTCCCATGGCCATGTATACCCAGTGCATTTGGGATTCCTTGGTGTGCTGTTATTTCTGTCCTTTCATGACAATTACACATATTTTAGATTAGAGTGTCTTTCCTGTGGTGCTTCTCTAGCAGCCTGTAATTGTGCATTCAGCATTATGAGACAGGTGAAACGTGGCAGACAGGGGGTTCCCATGCCATGTTCAGGTCTCCCTGGGGACATTCCTTCACCACTATTGCCACTTGCTCAGGTTGCCCAGTGACAGCACTGCTGAGCCTGGGGAAGGGGCTGCCTCACGTGGCATCACAGGATCGGTGGTGGTATAAAAGTCAGGGCTCTTGACTTTTTGAAGGGTGCAGAACAAGCTGTCCTGGCTGGCCCAGCTCAGCAGCTGACAGCTCACTGGCAGGCTGACAAGCAAAACCATACAGCTTTTTGCCACTATTTTGTGCCTGTGCCTTTGGTTTCCCCATCTGCAGGTGAAACCCTGTGACAAGCAAGACGTGCCCTGTGGGAGTTTTGGGACTGGGAGCTCTGTTCCACATCTCAAGACCACTCTGAGCATGCTGGGGGTCCCTGGTCTTTAGCCTGACACTCCTGCACAATGTTCTGGGTGGCCCAAGGGCAGGATGGCCTTTGTCAGCCCACTGCTTAAAATCCCCTCCCGCTGGGAAAGCTCTAGTGTCACATAAAGAGCCCATGCTCAGGCTCGGCTGTTTGCCAGCCAGCGCAGGGCACCTCAGGCCAGATTGTGTTTTGCTACATGAATATGACCCCAGTGACCCTGGGAACTTAAATAACCCAAAGCTGAGGACCTCTTTTTGCTTTACCTGCTCAGTTTCTTCTTACAGAGCCATCCACCAAAGAAAAGGAAATTTTGGTCTAATTTCACAATAGCTCTAAACCCACAAATTCAAATAATCTTGGATTCTTTCCCTTTCCTCAAAGTGTTTTCTTCTAAATAACTTCCATACCAGCCCGAGACATGATGTCCTCCAGGACGAAAATAAAGCCAGACTATTCCAAGCCTGCAGCAAGAGCAGACTGAGCTCTCCTCTCCCAGCTAGCAGCAGATACATTTCGCTTGCACTTTCCACGGCTACACCACTTTCCTGTGCTGTTACTCAGAACTGAGCTAAGGATTGGGCACCTCATATCTCTGCTATTCCTCATTATCCTCGTTCTCCAGGTGAGAGAGTTTCCTCTCCCTACAACAGAACATTTCTTTTTCATTTACAATGTCTAGGAACACACCACTCCTTCCGCTCCTTTCCCTGCTTTCATTATAGAATACATCCCCTATCAAGTCGTGTGTCACAGAGCTCTTTTGTGACCATGAGCTAAAGCAGAATGGTTTCTTTCTCCCTTCGGGGCCAGCTCTGTGCTCAGAGCTGAGCAGTGTTTACAGAGTGACCTTCCCAAGCCCTCCGTAACGCCCAGCTCCTGCAGTGTTCTCCCAGCCACCGTGGTGGTGTGCAGCTGCCAGGAGAGCCTTTAGTCTGTCAGCTTTATCCCAAGGACTGTGATGAACTGGAAAAACAATTCTATGCAAACCTGACAGTACTTACACAGCCTTATAAAAATTCTAATTAAAAAAAAATCTGCCAATAATAATAGTAAAATAGATGTTTTACCAGTCTCTGCAGCTTGTTCATCCTCTTTCGTAGGTTTTCCTCTGTCTGCCAAAGCCTCTGGTACTCTCACGGTGCTCTGAAGGATTATTTAAATCTCCAGCATGGGAATGTGTATTTAGTCACCCATTACGTTAGGATAAGACACTTGATTTGGCAGGTGTTTTGCCAGCTGATTTACATTCCCAAAACTGAGCTGCATGTTCATTAGCATGTTCATTGACGGTTCAATTCATTTTGTTAAAAGTCCATGACAGTCCAGGGAAATGATTCTCTAAGATCCAGACCTGTCTAAACCCTCTTGAAGGGCAGCGTGGTTTACAACATCAATTCCTTCTCAGAGCACCTGGCACAGCTACCACTATCACTGCTCTGATTAAGTGTGATCAAAGCAGAAGTGAACTACACATTTGTTTTCCTGATTGCATTTGTCCTGGAACACAATCTAGGATCTGAAAGACAAACCAGACTATTTCCCTTAGTGCCATCAGTGACAGGAGTGAATGAAGCCCAAGCCCTCCAGCTCTGGTTATCCAAGCCTTTCCCTGTGCTCCTGTCTATGTCCTGGTGACAGATAGGCACTGCAGCTGTTTCTGGAAAGGCTGTGCACGAAGGCACAGAAGGCTGTGCTCCTGCTCCCTCTCCACAGCCTGGCACAGAGCACACAGCCACAATCAGAGCTCCTGTCAGGTACAGCAGTGACAACCTTGCCTCTTTTTGCAGAGCAGAAAGGCACTCCCTCGTAGTGGGAAATGCTGAATCCTTATGAATCCTAGAGATGGAGAGGGAGGCATATTGCACTGCCAGCAGTATCATTAAAGCTGCTGCTTCACAAAATATCTGGCCTTCAGGAGTAATCATCCTTTTAATATCCTTTCATCCTGCAGAGTGAGATTTGTGAGGGCCCTGACAGATTTCAGAGAGTTTGAAATAAGTGAAATGTTTTCAAATGCCTCTTTGTCCCTATTCAGTTTTTACTGCACCTGAACAGAAATGAGCCTGTTCCACGTCACAGAGTAGTCTCTGGTGAATGTGTAGCCAGGGATGTGGTGCTGCATCAGCTGCAGCCACTAAGTGGCAGGAGAAGTACAAAATTTGCTGTATTAGGCTCTGAATCCAACATGCCAGCACTGTGCTGTCTGTGACATGTGGCAGGGTTTGCATGAATGCTTCCATGCTTCCAGCAGCTTCCCAAACAGTAACTGGGAAACAGACATAACTGTACCAGTCAACAGGCACTGATGGAGAGTTTAGGCACATATATCAAGAACAGCAATTAATTCAAAAAAGAAAGCTCTATTTTCCTCATGCTGTCTGCTCTGAGCTTGTGCCAGCTGCCAGAGGTGAGGAAAGCCCTGTGGTGGGCAGTGAGATGCTGGGGATTGTGGCACAGGCTGTTCATGAGCCTCCCTCTTCCAGAGGGGGCACAAACTGGCTGTTGCTGTGGTGAGATCTGTGTGCAGCTGGCTAGCTGGGAGCTCCAGGAAGTTGTCCTCCATCTTTCTAGCAGCAGCTTCCTTGATGAGGAGTGAAGGGATAGATTTTTTTCATCTGCACAGCATCTATGTTACTCGTGCTTTGGTGCTGAGAGATGGTCACGCTGGTTGTGTTTCTAACTGGCTTTTTGCTGCACCTTAAAAACCCCAGCTTTCCCAGGGTTTCATCCTTGTTGTCAGAGCTCCAGAGTCGCAGTTGTAGAAGAGGAATCTCTGGGGTCAGGGTCTGTCACCAGGGTACAGCCACTGCTCTGCCGTTACTCAAACTCCTGGCGCTGGAAGCCTTCACATAAACCCGGCAGGTTTCCAGCAGCACCGGGGGACCCACCACGCTCTCCCTTCAAATACTCTGTCACTGAACTCAAACCTGTCATAACCAGGGTGAAATATGATGCCATGTGCATGGGAGAGGAGTTCTTTGGAGGATGCGATGGCGGGGCCTGCCTGCAGTTATCTGACTGCAGGAATAAGTGCTAATCCTGCCATTAGGAAAGACCATCAACACATGCTCTTTGATCTGTCACGAACTGAGAGCTTCCAATGTTTTAGTGTGTCTTTACACCAGAATCATCTGGACCAACTTCAAGGGGAGAAAAGGGGCCTCATTTCCATCTGTGAGGTTTGGATCTACAGGATGAATTCTCCCTAAACACGCTACCCTGTAAATTGCAGAAGAGATTTGGAGCGGCTCCCTGGCTGGTTGCTGACTTTCCCAAGCTCTAGCCTGGCTGTTTCTGCAATCCCTTCTCACTTTCCTGTAAGGACCATCACTGTAAGATAAAAAATGCCTCTGTTTTCTTGTTCTGACTCTTGCAGAACTCACTCAGAATACAAAGACAAATAATAAAATCTGCAAACAAGCAGCTTTCTCAAGAAACATGCAGCAGTTTTGCTGATTTCATGGTGAAAGCAATGTTTATGTTTATTTAGTTGTCAAAATGGATTTTTCTTTGTAGGAAATGAGTGCCCTGCTGTGACACCACTATTCTGAGTTCCAGCAGTTTGCTAATGTTCTTAATAAAACCCCCACAATTTATGTAAGTTCAAGGCACTGTATAAGAACTTCAGGAAATGAGCTTCATCACAGAGGTTTCTCAGGGCAGGGACCCAATGCTGACAGAGCTTCTGCTGCCACACAGAGTCACTGGGACACTTTCCAGAGCAGTGGACATCCATGGGAGCTGAGTCCTTTGAGGACACAACAGCTGAGACAGCCAAAGGAACTTGCTGCTTTCCCTTACTTAGCTGGGATTTTTGGATGTCAGAAGAACAGCTGTATGTTCTGCGTGTTGGATCAGCAGTCTGCCTTTTCCTCCACCTGATAAGCACTACAGCTTCTCTGCGAAAACTCAAAATACTAAAAATAATGGAAATACCTTTTTTTCCAGTCCATTGTGAGCTGTAGGTCATGCTGTAGCTGAACTATTTATTTCCCTTCCATCTCTGTATCAGACACTGATACAGGCACTTAGTTGAAATTGAGTGACCTCAAAGCCAGAAGGAACAAAGTCGTTGCCTGAACAAAATCTCTGCTTCTGTGTGTGAGAGAAGAGCATTTAGACTCTACCAAATGGCATCAAATATTGCTGAATGTTCCCGTCAGAAGAGAGGAAAATGTGTGCAGCAGTGTCAGAGGGTCAGACTCATCCTGCTTTCTTATTTAACATTCCCTTCAGACAGAGCTTTTCATTAGAGCTGTGCCCTGGCTCACTGAGAGGCAGCTGGACTGGGACACATATTCCTGCCTCTGGTGAAAACCAAAGTACAAATACCTTTTCTGACTCCTTGTAGGGGTCTCCAGCAGCTGACAGCACACTCAGTTGATGTGCTGCTATTGTGAGCTGAGCACAGACCTCTTTTCATAAGACACAAGCATTGTTTTTCAGTTCTCTTGTTGATTTGGCCACAGAGCTTATGAAATGGATGTTACAAAATAAAGGCCCCTGAAGGATATTCCCTACTGACAGCTGTGGGAGGTGACCTGTGGTGTAGGGGACAGATCACAAGGCAGAAGAATTTAACAAGAATTATTAAACACTGGAGAAAAATAAATGTGCAGAGAGACAGACAGTTTCTCATTTGATGTCTTCAACTCATGATCAGAAGCTGTTTTGGAAGAGGTGCTTTATTTGGATATGTGATGAGGCTCTGCTCCAGGGGATTTAAATGAGATCTTTCTCATGCCAGACACAAAGATATATTTTTGAACTAAAAACCATAGGAAATAAAAATAATATTAACTGTGATTTACAGCAAACCCTGTGCAAACCACATGTCCTTGGAGGGCTGAACTCTAAGTGCTATCTTTAGTTTCTTTCTAACAAACAAACAAATTTAAAAATCCATCCAATTCTGTATGATTCACTTTCTCCTGACTTTAGCCATCTCACTCCAGAGTTAGCTGATTTGGAACAAGAAATCCTTTAGTGAAGAAGGAAAAATTCATATATGGCTATTACACATGGAAAAGTAAACATTTCAAGTGCCTCAACAGTTATGATTACACAGCTTATCTATGCACAGCGGGTTCATGGAGCTCTTGCACCTCTTGTCCATGCCACCAAGGACTGAGTTTGAGAGCTGAGATAACCTCCCAGAAAGGTCCTCCTGGCTGGTGTGCCTCACTTCTTCCTAGTGCCAGGGCATCAGGCACGTAGAGACCTCTTCTGCACCAAGGCTGCCGGGGTCTCAGGCACGGCACGTCCATGGGAGCGCTGTGGGTGAGACCTTGAACACACCTGGCCTGAGGCACAACAGGGTCCCCTACCCTGGCAGGGGGAGTCTCTCACAGTGGGCGTGGGGGTATCCCTGTTTTCAGATGAAGGAAAGACTGGGGGCTGTAAGCAGGGATGGAGCATTACCCGAGCAAGGGGCTTGGGGTTATGTGGCCAGGGAGCGAATGCTCCCCTGGGTACCCAACAGCCCAGCCGGAGGAGACGCCTGTGCGCCACCAGGGCAGGCATGACTGTCACAGCAGGACACGCTGCAGGGCGTCATCGGATGAAGGCACAAACAAAATGCCAGCGCCGTGGAAGAGCAGAGGGCACACGGCAGCAGCCGGACACTCCCAAGGGTGTGCCTGGGGCTGTTTTCCTGCCCCACCAGCTGCGGGCGGTGAGCGCCCAGCCAAGGGCGCCAGCGCTCCTTAGGGCCTGTGCTGACACGGCACTGCTCCTTTCATCCTGCAGCCCGGGACTGCTGGGCTGGGCAAAATGGGAGCTGCTGCCTCTAAACAGAGCAGCTGTTTATCCTTGAAACAATTAGAGACGGCAGTTAGATCTTGAACTCGTTACCGAGCCCAAAACAATTATGATAAAAACAAGTTCCAGATGGGCTCAAAAGGAGTTGTTTTTGTCTTTAGTGAATTAGAATGGATTCCATGTCTTCAAGTTCCTCTGGTATTTATGGACAGGAAACATGAATTACACACAATAATTTACTACAAACAAAAGAGATGACCGCTGCAACAGCCCATTTGTCTTTGCTCATGTGCCTTCTTGAGGTTTATGTGCTGTTTAACTCATGAGGAGAGTTAATAGCATTTTTCTCTAACTCTGCAGTTTTGGTTTGCAGAAACTGAGACAGGAAGCTGTTGAATTTATGCTGCAGGTTACTGTCACTGAGCCTGCAGATGCACAACGGGTAAATATTGTCTGGCAAAGAGATACCATCATGTTTCAGTTCTTCCTTTGAAGGACTTGTGCAAAGGTTACAGCTGGGACTCCTTCTAATTAGCTCCTCTGGCTGCTCCAAGGGCATGCAGACAGAAACGTTTTCCAAAGCCTGTCCAAAAAGGACTGAAGTCTGGGCATCACACATATTTGTGTGGAAACTTTGAGTTTCTGACATCTTGGGTTTTGAAGCTGATGCTGCACATTGGCAGTGACTGAGCTGATCCCAACAGGAAGGGGACCCAGCAGATGGCAGGAAGCAATGGCACATCACTGTCTGCATCTGCTTGGAGTCCCCAGGCAGGGGCAGGACAAGGCAGGAGGAAATCAGTGAGAAAACTCCTGGGCAGCATTTTTCTGGCAGTCTCTCTTACCTTCTTGCAGCTGAGACAAAGAGCCTGGCTTTGTTGTTTTTTTCAGATTTTAGTTAGATTTCATGACTCTATAAAAGTCCACATGCCAGCATCACTGTGAAGGGGTGTGTGTGAACCCAAATATGTGCCTGCACTGATGGGAACTTGTGGAAGGCCACAATTCCAAAAACCCATAAAATGTGACAGGGATTGTAATAAAGCCTAAAGCTGCCCTGGGTGTACTGCAGTGCATGAAGTCAGCTTGGCTGAGCTCCCAAGGGACTGAGATCATGGGCAGAAAGCAGCCTGGGAACGCAGGGTGACACTGGGGTTTGTTTGGCCTCTCCCAGTGGGAGCTGGTGAGCTTCCCAATGCATTTCATCACTTCTCCCCCTTCCCCCACAAGCCTTAGAAAAGAGGCTTTAAGTAGAAGCCTGGACAAGTGGAGTTCTCCAGTTTTGGCTAGACAAGAAGGGAAGAGAAAAAAATTGGGGAACTAATATTTTTTTTTATTATTTTATGCAATGTCTAATTTGCACATAGTCTTTCACAGAGAGTAAGTGAGATTGGTTATTTGGGCTCCCATCTAGTGGAGCCAGTGAGGGCCTCCTTGCAGCAGAGAGACTCCCAATATTCATCTCCCAGCCTTGCTTCAAATAAGGATGAGGTAGGAATCATGGTGCTTGAACTCAGCTTCTGTCTGGCGTCCACAAGCAGCAAGAACAGATAGGAAACCTCTAATTCCCCACCCAAAGGAACAGGATACTTAGTCATTTATTTCATTTATTTTCCTTTTATTGACTCTCAGTTCTTCAACTCAGTTGCCCATTCTGCTGGGTTGGGAGCTCTGTGCATGCTGGAGGGCTGAGCTGCAGCAGTGCAGCATTTGGGCTCCAACAGCCACATGAACAAGAGCTCCTGGCCCGATGAATTTCCCTGCAAGCTCAGCTCTTCTCAACTGCCAGAGCTCTCACAGCAATCCCCAGCTCCCACAGCCAAGCCTACTGACATTGCTGCAGTTTGTGGTGCGAGTTCCTCGCTCAGCTCCATTCCCAGCATCCCTAATGCAGTTCCTCCTTCTCCCCCAGCCCATCACAGGTGCTCTCAGTGCCGCAGTGCCCAGGGCACTCCAGCCCACTCTCTGGTCTGAAAGACCCCACCAGTCTCCTGTCTTCTCCTCTCTCTCCCCCATTATGTGGCTTTAACCTCATGTCCTGTCATCTTCCATCTGGGTTTTGTATTTCATCAAAGGGCAGTCAGGATGGAAGTGGTGGAGGACACAAAGACTCCCTTCCCCCTCTGTAATTTCATTTCCCATTAACTGAGGGTTTAAAGGCAAATCTCAGGGCTCATTAAGACTCTGATGACAGCTTAACCCTCTCCAGCACGAACCCAACACCAGGCCATTCCTCATCTGAATCCAGGGCTGCTGTAACATTAAACCTGACTGCTGCACAGGGCAGACAGGTCTGGGAAGCACAATCAGCAGGAGAGTGAAGGATGCAGGGTTTCTGGAGACGTGTATCAGCTCTGGTTCTCAGGAGCACTGTCTGTGTGGGACACCTGGGCAGAGACAGACCCTGCTCCTCCTGAGGGCCCAGCACAGACCCTGCTCCTCCTGAGGGCAGAGACAGACCCTGCTCCTCCTGAGGGCCCGGCACAGACCCTGCTCCTCCTGAGGGCTGCGTGCAGCGCTGCTGCCGTTCCCCGGCTCCCCTCAGCACCCGGTGGGACCACACATCTCTTGGTTTCTTCCAGCGGCCTTGACAGCTCGGTGCGGTCTCGCGCAGCTTGGGGAAGCCCCTCACTGCTCCATCAGGAGCATCCTCTCACTGCAGGAGGGGTTCCAGCAGGAGTTACCGAAACCCCCAAGCCCTTAGTGAATACAGACCCTTCTGATCAGCCCAGCAAGCGGAAACACACCCGGACTGAGGCAGCGGCACCGCCGTCCTTCTTCCAGCGGGCTCCTCTCCCTCAGAGTCAGCGGGGGAACACCGCGCTGAGAGCCCCCGGCTCTCGGGGACACTGCGGGGCCGCCGCTGAGCGCACCGCGGCTCCCTTGGCCGCGGCAGGAACCGGGCGGAGGCTTCCCCAGCCGGGCAGGTCAGTATCACTGACCCGTGGTACCTCACGCCTCGCCTAAGCCCCGGGGCTCCGCCGCGCTCTGCCCCTCAGCCGCCCCTGCCCCGCCCGCGCCCCGCCCGCCCCCGGCTCTGCCGCGGCCGCGGGGCGGGGCCGCTCCGGGTTGGCGGCGGCCGCGGGCCGGGGCCATGAGGCGCGTTCCCATTGGCTGACGCGCGCCGCCTGTCGCGCGGGGATTGGCCGGGCGCCCCTCTCGGGGGCGGGGCGTGCGGCGGCGCGGGGGGGGGCGTTAAAGGCGCCGCGTCGGGCGGGCGGAGCGGCGCGGCCATGGCGTACCAGGGCTTCGCGCAGGAGTACCTGGGCATGCCGGCCGTGACCCGCGCCTACACCACCGCCTGCGTGCTCACCACCGCCGCCGTGGTGAGCGGGGGCCGCGCCGGGGGGCGGGGGGCCGCGGGGCGGGAGCCGGGGCTGGCCGAGGGCAGCGGGTGATGGCAGCTGCTCTGCCTGTCTCCCACAGCAGCTGGAGTTCATCACCCCCTTCCAGCTGTACTTCAACCCCGACCTCATCTTCAGGAAGTTCCAGGTGAGGCCTCGCTCGGGCTCCGGGGCCCGCCGTGCCCCCGGCAGCGAGGGCTGGCCGGGCAGTGCTGTGTCATCCCGGGGGCTCCTGTCCCCCGCTCCCGCCTGCCCTGAGCGCTGCCAGCCGGGCCAGCCGCACCGCGTCCCTCCTTGTCACGGGCACCTGCGCGGGGAGAACGCCTGCAGCCTTTCCCTGCCACACACAACACCTTGGCTTTTCCTTGTCTCAAAACCCATCTCTTTCCCCACTGATACACCGTGTGTGGCTGCTGCTGTTGGGCTGGTTGGAGAGGGCTTTACTGTAGAGAGGCATGGAAAGTAATTGATTTGGCTCTGGGTGCTGAATTGTGGCTGTTTGACCTCTCTAGAAAAGTAGAGAAATCTTCTTTTCCATACCTGGAAAGGTGAGACACTCTGATGTATCAGGGTACCATGTCAGGAGGTCCCACGAGAGGATGGAGCAGCTGTCTGGTGTCCTGGGGTAGTTCTGAAGGGACAGGTGCACGTCTGAGCATTCATTCCCTGCAGACACTGTGGTTGGGCTGCTCTACATGTCATGAGGAGAGACCTCTGTCCACCTCCTTTTCTCTCTCCTCTTTCTTCTCTTTCAGATATGGAGGCTGATCACCAACTTCCTCTTTTTTGGGCCCCTGGGATTCAGTTTCTTTTTCAACATGATATTTCTGTATCCTTTGGTCTCAGTGAAGTTCTCTGCTCCCATTTTGGCTTAGATGCAACTCCCCCCCATCCATCTTCCTCCCCAGCATGGCTTGCCGTGGCAGCACCCTAGGGCTGTGGGTTCTTCCCTTGGCTCTTTTGAATTGAAGCCCCTCCTGCCCCTCCATCTGTGCTTGCTGCGGGGCAGACCCTGCCTAAAGGGAAGCTGGCAGTGCTGCTGCTGTGGCCCTTGCTGGAGAGCAGTGTCCATTCCTGGGGTGAGCTCTGGCTGAAGCACAGCAGTGCCTCTCTGTCCATGGGGTCAGTGGGGTGAGGTGAAGTTTGTGCTGTTCTTCTCTGGGCTGGGATGAAAGAGCTTGCAGCAGCTTGTTCCTGGGCAGTCCTGCTGTGGGCACAGGGTGGCCAGCTGTTAATTTCCTATACTGCAACCCCTCCCTTCTCTCCTGCCCTCAGGTACAGGTACTGCCGCATGCTGGAAGAAGGCTCCTTCCGTGGAAGGACGGCTGACTTTGTCTTCATGTTCCTCTTTGGAGGGTTTCTCATGACAGTATCCTTTTGAGCTGGCTGAGGCTCCTCGGTGTCTCTGAGATGCTGTGGGTAGTGCAGGGCTTGTCTGCTCCCGCTGTGTGCAGGTGTGTGCGGAGCAGGTGCCTGCCTGCTGAGCAGCACAGCTGCTTCATGAACCTCCTTGTGCCCCAGGCCTGCCAGCTGTGCCCTGGCACCTGGGAGAGCTCTGCTGAGCAGGGGGTGCAGGGGCAGCTTGTGCTCCTCATCTTTCCCACCCTTGGCTTGGCCAGTGCCTCACCCAGGGTGCTTGGAGGAGAAAAGTGCCTGTGGTTGTGCTGCTGTCGGTGCTGAAGCCCCTGGCAAGGGGCTGGGCTGCCTCGTCCCTGAAGGACACGTGGCAGAGTGCTCAGGAGGCTCAGCTCAAAAGGAGGCCACGTGTTCTGCTGCAAGAACCTGTCCAGCTGTGCCAGGGCCACTGACTGAGCTCTGGTGAGTGCAGCATGGCTGTGACTGCATCAGGCTGGCTCAGGACAGGGCAAGAACGTGGAGCCATGAGGACAAGGAGTGGGTTCCCACATACTCAGCACATGTGAGCCCAGCTTGCAGCCTGCCAATAGCTGGAGGTACCATCACACAGTTCTTAACTTCTTTTCACAACACAGTAATCTGATGGTGAAATTTATTTCCCTCCCAAGCACAAAGCTTCTCTGAATATCTTCTGCTGTCTTATGCAGATGGCTCAGAGCACTGCTGTCCCCACAGAGCTCTGCATGAGCTGTGTGAGCCATTAGAATCCAGGTGGCTGCAGCAGCCACGTGCTTGGCCAGACGTGGATTTGGAGTCCAACTAAAAGGGCAGGGGAAAATTTTGCCTTTGTCTGACTCCTCATGCTCTGAAGAAGAGGACTGTGAATTCCAAGAGCCATCTCACTACTGAACTTCTTCTGTAGAAGGCAGATACTGGACATGAGCTAGCTGTTAAGATATGCCACTGTCCCAAGTGCTGTAAGAATGTGAAAGGCCTTCTTTGAAGGGCATTTTGATGTTCATTTTGCAAAGGTGACTGTTGAGCTCTCTGGTCTCTGGTGGTTGTAGACATCAGCTTAAGGAGTGAGCAACCTGCATGTGCCCTCCAGAGTGTCTTGTTCTGGGGTGGCATGGAGGGAGATGTGTGTGGGGACAGTAGTGGTCAGTATCTCAGCCAGGAAAGGCTTGGTGACATGGGACATGTGTGGGAATGCTGTGATAGCTGTCTCTAGTTTGGGTTTCCTGTCCCAAAGCATGCTGTGCTGCCTGGAGGCATGCACAGCATGGGCAGGTTTTTCCTTGACTCGGTAGTTCCCAGCTGTTTGGACTCTTTGCCAGCCTGTTTTTCCTGGGCCAGGCTTTCACCATCATGCTGGTGTACGTGTGGAGTCGCAGGAACCCTTATATCCGCATGAACTTTTTTGGGCTTCTTAACTTCCAAGCCCCCTTCCTGCCCTGGGTCCTGATGGGATTCTCTCTGCTCCTGGGCAACTCCATCATCATCGACCTGCTGGGTAAGTCAGAGCTGGTGGGTGATGGCAACAAGGCCACCTTGCAGTCTCAGTGGTCAGTCCCCATGGGTGCCACTGGGACAGTGGCACCTTCTCTTGGTTCCATCTGACCTGAGATGTTTGGTTTCCTAAGTGAGCTGCCTGGGTTTCTGGGTGGCTGGGCCCGGGCCTGGGCTTTTGCTCGTGACCTGCTTTTTGGTGGTAGAAGCTGGGTATGGTGAGCTCTGACACTGCTGTGTCTGATGTGCTACATGTGTCCTAATGCTACATGAAGAGCTCTGACACTGTGTCTGGTCTCCTGGGTGTGCAATGCTGCCCTCAGGCTCATGGGCTCCCTGCCTGCAGATCACAGCAACCTGCAGCATCCCTGGCTCTGGAGGGAGCTGGATGTGGGCACACAGCTGGGGGGTTCTTAGAGTTTGGCCCAGCAGCTCTGGTTCAGCTGGCAAAGGAGCCGCAGCTGTGCCTGACCTTGTGACATCTCTCCCCAGGGATTGCAGTGGGTCATATCTATTATTTCTTGGAAGATGTTTTCCCCAATCAGCCTGGAGGAAAGAAGTTGCTGTTAACCCCCAGCTTTCTGTAAGTAAAGTTGATTCTTTCTGGGCTTTACTGTGGGCTGTCTCAACCTCATCACTTCCATAGCAAACTGTGACCATAAGAGGCACCTCAGCTCCACAGGCCATGGATTGCTGCACTACTTGCACATTATACACACGGGTACAGGGCCCATAGAGCAGCTACTGCTACCTTCAGCTTGCTGCTAGAACTAGAATCTACTTACTGCTTGTGGAAATGCTGGATGGAGGCAGGATTTTTTCTGATGTACTTTCATAGTTTAAGAAAGCAGAATAGTTCTGCTCTGTGCACTGACAATCAGCTCTGACCTGGTGATCAAGGAAGGAGGTACTGTCATCACTGTGTTGAGCTGAGCAAAAGAATGGTTGGTGATGCTGCAATGGGCCAGTGGCTGTGGCTGACAGCCAAGCCCCACAGAGGGCCAGGGTGTTCCTAGGAGGGCTGGGGGTTTGTCATCCTCAGCTCACATTCCTAACCTGCCTGCCTGCTGGGACGGGCATGTCCCTTGCCAGGAAGATGGTTTTTGACACACCTGAAGAGGATCCCAATTACAACCCTCTCCCTGAGGATCGGCCAGAACACCAGCCTAGAGACCAAGACCAGAACGAGCAGCAGCTTCCACAGTAGCATGGGGAACTTCTTCATGTGGCCAGACTCCTCCCTTCTGGCTGGACTTTGGCTGAGGCCCAGAGATCCTACTGGAATAACACCAGTTGCCATTCCGATGTGTAGTGTGTCACTGTTTGTGCGGGTAACCCATCTTCCCCCTGTACCAAGTGGATCCACAGAGCTTTGCACACAAGAACTCCTGAATGCTTACAGAGGTGTTCTAGGGACAGGGCTGAAGCTGTGATGGCTCCTCAGCTCCCTGGTGTGGAATAACTATCAAATGGGTGTTAAACCAGTTCCTCCTTCTGCTGTCGATGACTTGCTGGGTGCCAGGTCACTCTTGCCCTCTGTACAAAGGTGCACCTGGCCCTCACTCTTGTGAGACCTCTTTGTGGGCTTGCAATGAAGTAGTTCTGTACCATGGTAGAACGCAGCTCAGCCTCTTTCTTTCCTTTATGTCTCCCACTCCTTTTCTGGTGGTTGTTTCCAAAGAGTCTTTACATTAAAGTCTTTATTTTTCAGTTGTGTGTCCATTTCTGCTAGGGGCAGAGGCAGCAAATCATCAGGAATTTGCTCAAAACTGCCAGGTTTGGGATTTTCTTTTCTGGTGGGCAAGGCTGGAAGATGTCCTTTCCCTCTTCTCTCAGCAGGGCTGGAGAGCATGAGGAGTGTGGGGGATGTCTAATTGGAGAAAGGGGTGCCTGGGAAAGGACAGAGGGACTGAGCTGGACACTTGTTCCAGGCAGTGGCTGGAAGCAGCACTTGACACTGGCAATAAAGACTGTCTGCACCCGCAGTGTAATTCCACTCTTGTTGAATTTTTTAGTTCTGAAACTTAAACACCTCAGTTTCAGGGGAAAACAAAACAAGCTCATCCCTCCCCTGACACCTGTATGAAATGGATCTGATCACTCTTGCTAACACAGTACCCACTGTGCTTGTACCTAACCTCAAAGGAGTCTGCACACATTGTATCTTACAGCAGCTCACTCCTAACAGTGCTGGCTGCTCAGACCTGCAAACCACCACCAAACTATGAAATGGGAGTAACCAGCATCTCATTAAGCACACACACAGAACCCCTCACACACCAACTCCCCCTCCCCTGTGGTCTTCTAATAACACCCTATCAAAACTCAGACCTGATTTGAACAACCTCTTGCTGCACTTATGCTTCCCTCTGCAAAGAGGCTGAGGCCTGTACAGGTGGTAATTTGTTCTAGAAGATACAGTGGCACTAAGGGTAACGATAACAGAGCTGGGGTTTCAGTCCCTAGGAGGAGTTTGTCTTTGAAGTCTCCAGATGCTGTTGTAAATTGCCTGAGATGGGGCTTTGAAATGTAACAGTTGGGCCATGCTTTTAGGTGGGGTACCAGATTAACCCAAGGAATTGTGACTGCAGAGCAAGAAAGCTGATCCTGGCTGTTCCCCAATAGTCCTAATGCTACATTAAGAAAGCTGGCTGAAGTTCCCATCTTTCTCAACTGTCCTGCTTTGTCCCTGGCTGCTCTGAGGAACAATTTGTACAGTCTCTCTGGCCTTGAGAAGCAGAGAGGTGCTGCAATCCTTGTGTGCCTGCACCTCATTGTGAACTTGAGGATTAGTAATCACAAACTTCACAGCAATAAAAAAAACTGCACCACAGATGCTAATTTAAGGCTACAGCAGTTTCACACTTATTTTAGTCAAATTCCCTGAAGAGGCTGCTGGCAGAAGTCCCCAGTCATATAACAAAGGAAGGCTGAAGTGTTCTCAGGAAGGCTCAGAGTTTTTATGCCCATGAGCCAAAACATGTTTTACATGGGAGGCTAAGATACAGCAGCAATCCCAGGGTTTGTCTTCCTTGCTCAAATAACCTTTTAACCTCTCTAATATGAAGTAATACATGGAGTACCACTCTGGAACAGGAGCCTAGGATAAGACTGAATAATATTATTACTAAATTGCAAGTTTTCAGTTTCTGCAGACTAACATCTGGAAAAAGTTCCCTCCCACCCAGGAATCAGAACTGTCTCTGTTATTACTCAAGTCTAAACATGATAAATTAAGGCCAGAAAGTGTTTTTTGACTGTGCTAGCAGGGTGGGTGGATCAGCAAGGATCATAAAACCTATGGCTTTATCATAAAGGCCTGAACATAACTGTCAGGCTGCCAGCAAAATCTGCCTTGCTTGCAAGACTCATCAGTTCTGGCAGTGAATGGTAGGAACTCTATCAAAGAGATGGGGTACCTCAACAGCAAGACAGATTCTAATTAGTTGGTAAGCAAGCTTGGATTTTTCTTTAAATCTCACTTCAGTGGATTTTGTTTTTAAACTCCCCAGAGAAAGACAGGTTGTTTCTTTGGTTGCAAAATCCTGACACTGCAGTGCTAAGGGCATTCATGGCACCCACTTTGCTTTGAGTGCTCTATGCAGTGCAGCTGGCAGTGCTGACTAACAGTGACCACAGCAAAGGCAATGGCTGCAGAGAAGCTTCAGTCTCAGGAACTAGAGGCTTTGCCTGCTCTACCACTGCAGAGACTGTGCTGTTTTCCAGATGCACTCTTCACAAAAAACAGGGATGACCACACACCAGGCTGACATCTGACAGAAATGACTCTTAAGTCTGTGATTTCAGTTAAACTGTTCTACCTTGTTGAGTAAACCAGCTGAATACCTCCCTGAGGTCATTACAGACTGCCAAGTCTGGTAACAGACCAATCCATAGAGTGTTTGCTGCTTCTAGTTCTAAATCTCCTCCTCACTTTCCCCTGCACCAAAAGGTTTTGGACTGTTGTACCTGTTGAAGTAAAGCACTCAGGAAAAGTGAATGCATGTGAGTGTTCAGCACCATACCCAAAAGCATTAATATTAGGCCCTGGGACTGCTCAGAATAGCACAAAACATGGTGAGATTCACTGTTCATGCAAACTGACTGAACTCAACCTACGTTGTATGCATTCCTTTTATTTAAAAAGTTGTCCTAGGAGTGCATGTTGCACCTATAGAAAAGAATCTTTACACTGTCCACACACAGGTATGTAAGGGCTCCAACACCTGCCACAAGTCCCAGCTAGGTCATGCTGCTCACTCAGCGTTCTGGGCACGTGGCACTGGGGTGGAGGGGGGGCAGAAGTCAGCAGTACTGGGAACTCGTGGCAAGTGGAATGTGTGTCCCCTTCAGAGACAGAAAGACCCCTGCCAATTCTAGATCCATTTAGGGAGAGGAATAGGGATAAAGTCTGTAGGAAAAGCACCAGTGTCACAACAGGAAGGTTACCAGGCTGGAGCAGTATTGGCCAAACGTCTCATGCGCCTGAGGGAGAGAGAGAGGTACAGTAAGTGCATGTTACAGACATGGGAGGTCTGACCAAAAACAATGCTTCTGGGGAGGCTGCACAGCTTTGTCAGCTTTGTAGACAGGTTTATTCCTAGAGAGAACTCTTCAGTCACCTGAGAGTGCCCCTGATAAGGCAAAGACACTGTTTTCATTAGCAGCTGTTAGGGCACTTTTTCTCATTAACTTGGATTGAGCCAAGTGCTACTGTAAACTGTTCAGTCAGCCACAGCTGATACACAAAATGACTGTGCTACTGTTAATCAGCAGTTAAAAAAACATCCTGGGAAAGAGCTGAGCCAGTATATTTACTGTTTCCACGATGTATCTTTTGGAGAGATACTAGCCAATCCTTCCTATCTGCCAGGAAGAATTTCATCCAGTAGGTGCAAGCTCTCAACTGCTTGTCTAACATCACTTTGCAGGTCTTGGGTGGGCAGAGCTTCTCCTGGAACCACACAGTGCTCCCCGTGCTGGCAAACAGGTTGGCATCACTCAGGCTAGAGCTGGGAGCTTGCACATGGCTACACCAAATTGAACTTTACACTACATAAAAGGAAGCTTTGTGGCAGGATTCTAGGGAGCATGACAGTGCATGCAACTCCAATGTTTGAGTCATGGCTTCTTATACAAACAACTTCCCTGGACAAGAAGAGAGCCCAGGAAAAAGAAAAAAAAATGAGTTAAAAAAAAAGTAAACTTCCTGCAAACAGATGGTAGAGCAGACATTTCAATGGAGGAAGGTGATGACAGCTAAATATCCTGAAGCTAAAGCTTCTGTAGTGAGCAAGGCTGACATCCTGCCAGTTAGCTCTCAGTAGGGAAAGACAAACATCAAAGCTTGGAGCTTCTGTCCAAGGGACAGGCCAAGAGAACTGTCCAAAGCAGTACCTTGTGTTCCTGTCCTGGTCTCTGATCTTCTTCTCCATCTCAGCGTCTGTGAGGGTTTCCAGGAGAGGGCACCACTGGTCAGCGTCCCCCGTGTTGCGGATTGCGATCTCCACGGTGGGCAAAGGGTTCTCGCTGCAGGGCAGGGCACAGGGCAACAAAGCAACATCATCAGTGGGCCCAGAGCACCCCCCTGGGCCACCAGAGCATCATTTACAGTGTCTCGGGCTTCAGCATTCCTTCTTTGCTCTGCTTAGTACAGTCTGGGTCCCTGAAGCTCACCACAGGCTCCTGGTTACACCCTTGTGGAACTGAAGTTCCTGGGAAAGCAGCTACACCCATCTCCAGCCACCACTGCAGAGGGATTTGTGCTGGACCTGCAGTTCTTTCCCACACAGGCTGTCACATCCCTGGCTGGCAGGGTTCAACCCCAAAAGGCACAGCTCCTCCCAGGCCGTCAGTCTTGGGAGCACTTTTCCCAGCGCAGCCCAGGAGCTGGGAGTGTTCCCAGGGCTCCCTGTCCAGCCTGGCTGTGCTGCAGCTCTCACTTCCTAGCAGTAATTTGCCTAGCTCACCCCTGACAGTTCTTCCCTGGCAAAACTCTGCCTTTCCTGGGAGCCTGACACTGCAAAGAGCAGTCTTTTAGGACCTGCTGTGGCTAACAAGCAACAAAACACCAGGCTGTGCCCCAAATCACAAGATCTATTCCTCAGAGATTCCTCTGCCCTGACCAGCTGTATTATCACATGCACAAAATATTTACTGCTTCACTAGCTGCTTTTCAGTAAAAGTCAACAGGAATTGACCAAGAGTAGCTTCCCAAATATTGACAGTGGAGCCGGAAGCCCAGCATAAATATAGAGGAGCCTCGGAATGTAAATGTTTGCTTTGAATTCTCCCAAGTGGCTCAGCCTGAGCTGCAGAAGGGTGTGTGAGAGAGGAGCCCTGGGACAGGTGTGCACACACATCCGGCCCCCTCCCCAGGGACGTGCACCCCTACACAGGATTTCAGCACTCTCATTCCCTCAGGAAAGATGCTAATCATCATGGGAACACACAACATCTGCATCAAAGCTAATAATCTAAAATAACATGTCTTCAAAGTAATTCGACCACGAAAAATTAATCCAGGGCCTTTGGTATCTGAACCAGGGAGGAAGCTTTAATCAAATCTACTTCCAGTACTGCTGTCATCCACTAAACAACACTTAAACCCAGGAATTTCGTCTTAGTCCTAGAATGCCACACATTCCAGGCAAAATTAGATATTAACTGGGATTTTGTTAGTGATAGCATGATCTCTACCTCCCTATGCA